GATACAATTTATCCTGGTCAAAGTCTTCGGAGGACTCCATGCGTTCGCAGAATCCAATGGTTTCTCCGATAGGAGCTGAGAAAGGATCGAAGTCGTGTTCGTCCATCTTCTTCATCCACGAGCGTGGAATTCCATGACAAACAATGTCAATGACTTCGTCATGGTTCAACGTTTGGTTGGGTCCAAAAGGTGGTAGACGAGGAAGTTCATCGGTGTTCATCCGACTGAGGTTGTTGACATAAGCCCGAGTAGACATATCAGCAGGCTTACGCATCTTGCGGCGCATGAAGCGTTTTCTGCTTTTCAAGCGCCTTGTAGGGACAGACCGCTTCGATACAGGCATTTATGCCAAACGTAATGTCAGCGTCGTCCAAAGCAGGCTGAGCTGCTCCGTTCCAGGCAGCCTGGAAACGTGCTTGGAAAGTGGCTTCGTCTTCGCCGCACGTACATCGCGTGGAGCAATCCCGTTGACTGCAATCTGGCGCAAAGCATTCCAACGTATTTCACGATGGCCTGCACAGCTAGATTCGTAACTGCTCTTGGCAGAGCTAGAAGTCATCTCCTTGAGGAGGTTATGTTTGTCGTCGCAGGCGTAGCAATGGCAGCCGACGAAGACCTTCTCCATACGTCCAGCCCACTTGATGTTTTGACGTGGAGTCTCAGATCCATTATGATTTGGACTTGAAGGTGTACTTGCGCTGTTAGCATCTGCTGGAATAGTGCGAAGTTTGTAGGTTAGAGCGAGAATCGTCGTTTCGCATTCATCATCGAGGTCGATGAGAGGAAGGATTGGTTTGTCACGCAGCTTGGACTCGAAGCTGGTGTATGCGTCTTTGCAATCTTCATGGTGAGGAATAGGTTGAGGTAGCTGAAAGCTATTGTGTTTGTTACAAAATGCACTACGCTAAAAACTAGTGTAAAGATCTTTCGATGTTTTGAGTTTGAGAGAATGAAAGTTATGAGAGGATTAGAAAGTATGAAAAACTAATCAACGAGAGAGATCCACAATCAAAGGATCGTAGATCTGACTCCCGCGGGAGACTGTAGAGTGATAGAGTAGGTTGCGTAGCAATCCTACTCACTCCCACGATCCCAAACGGAACGCGTGGAAGATTCGTCTAGCATTTATTAGTAGCGTGGAAGTACTCCACGTGCTAAATTCTAAGCGATGTTTCATCATCAACCTAGTATGACTAGAGCGGTCATTGAGAATTCTGTCTCTAATGACTATTCGCGAAGGACTATGTCATGAGTCGAACTCAGACCCTATCTAGGATCGAGTCGCGAAATAAGGCTAAGAGGCCGTGTATTGCATTGTTGTTGTTGTTGTTGTTGTTGTTGTTGTTGTGTTGTTTTGTTGTTGTTGTTGTGTTGTTGTTGTGTGTTGTTGTTGTTGTTGTTGTTGTTTGTTGTTGTTGTGTTTGTTGTTGTTGTTGTTGTGTTGTTTGTTGTTTTTGTTGTTGTTGTTGTTGTTGTTGTGTGTTGTTGTTGTTGTTGTTGTTGTTTGTTGTTGTTGTTGTGTGTTGTTGGTTGTTGTTGTTGTTGTGTTGTGTTGTTGTTGTTGTTGTTGTGTTGTTGTTGTTGTTGTTGTTGTTGTTGTTGTTTGTTGTTGTTGTTGTTGTTTGTTTGTTGTTGTTTTGTTGTTGTTGTTGTTGTTGTTGTTGTTAACTTTCAACCTTCCACCATGACGGGGAATTCGTACAATGGGCGACGGGCCGCTACTGCTCAACCGCGACCGGGAGGAGGGACCATGACAGCCAATGTGGAACCTGCCGCTCCCAGCACTGGAGGATTGCGCAATCCTGGTACTGTCGGCGCCGCATCCAATTTGTTGCCAACGAACGCAAAGGAAACCGACCGGACAACACCATCCTAGCCTTCGAGCCCAAGAAGCTGGAGTATGAGCAGTTCTGCCAACACGAGTATCCTACAGACGCCTACAAGTTGAATTTGTGCAAGGAAATGGCTCTCAAATTTATGTTTTACCAAGCAATGAGGAAGAAGAAGAACACCGGCGGCAAGAGGAAGCGAGCAGAGGCCCCCAAGGTCAACTTTGCCAAAGATGAGTATGACGAAATCAGCCAGCCCTTCAAGCAGAACACTGCTAACATTGAATTCCCCAACCCATCTGACTCCATTGGCCCCTCCACTTTCAACACCTACAAAGCAGTATTGAAGAAAATGCATGACGAACAGATCACTCTGGGCGTTTCGAACATTCCTTGGGAGATGATTTGGGATGATGATTGCAAGGCTCTGGAGAAGCACGTGAAAGAGCGACTACCCAAAATCAAGAAACAGAACTACGTGCAGAAGATTGACGGCGATTTTGCTCCGTACGCTGTGGTGGAGCGGTTTGGTGAAATTGAAGAGTCAATGTGGTCTGATATAATGGCATGCGTGAAGAACCGCCGATCTCTTAATTCGAAGCTACGCCATCGGTTGTGCACGCTGATCAACACCAGTGCCATTCTCCGCAGTGACAATGTCCATTGTGCAGAGCTGTCTTATTTTTTTGGGTTGCGTCCAGGGAAGAGAGACATTGATATGCACTAGCCATATGTCATTATCTTGCAGATGGCGTTTGGTAAGACTAACCATGGCAGAAAGACCTTTGGCCGCTTCACCCGTCACATGGATGTTCGTCTTTGCTGTGTAAATGTTCTTGCCCTTTATCTGCAGCACCGATTCGATGTGACAAGGGAATTCGAGAACCAACAAGGATCTGATTGGATCAACAACCAACGTTGGTTTGACGTGAAGCTGTTGGTTGACACCCAGAGCAAGGATAAGACAGTGGAGATGAAGCACGACACCTACAGTGACCACATCAAGTCTATCCTGAAACGTCTCGATCTTCCCCAGAACAATTTGCTTCACCTTGGTAGGAATGTGGGAGCAAAGAAACTGGAGCTGATGGATGTCACTGCGGAGGATATCAAGAGGATGGGCAATTGGTCACCCGGTGTCTTCGAAAACAGCTACTCCGGTATGATCCCAATGCAGCAGATCCGGCAACTGGCTGGGTTCAATAGCACACAAAACATGTACTTTCTGCCTCGTGGAGAGCTGGAACCATGTGCCGAGTTGCTTGTGCAGAGCCCGATGGGCAAGTGGTGCTACAGTGCACTGAAGAGTGTGGAGGAACTCGATACTGATGGGGAGCACCAAACAGCACGAGAGTTCTTGAAACTCATGTGCGAGCTCAACACCTTTTTCTTTCAGGACTGTGCTGCAATGATGATACTCCATCCAGACAGAGCGAGTAGCCCAATCTTCACTGAATTGCCATGTGTCTACAATCCAAGGAATGTATGGTATGTCTACTATGATTATGATTGCGTGTGTTGTGCTTCTACCCTTATCTCACTCCATTGTTTCTTCACAGCAATATAAAGATTACATGAAACTTTGCCTAGAAAAGACGCAGGACCCAATAGACGTGAACCTGGAGAAGGTGATGCCAGGAGTGCATAGAAAACTGCAAGTGAATCACAGTGCCATTGCCGAAGTGGAGAGGAAGATCGAACGAAACACCAGCGAGGTCCTTACTGCTGTGAAGGAGGGATTCGATAGGATCGAAGCAACCTCTTCTGCCAGCAGAACAATCGCCCACTGGCAAGTCCGAGAGTGTCTAATGCAAGCAGGGTTGCAGCTGCTTCAAGAATGTGATGAAGAGAGTACTCCAGAAGAAACCGTGACTGCTGAGGACTCTCCAGTTCGCAATGCTCAAGGAACAGCCAGCTTTCCAGTAAGAGTAGCAAGATCGCCTGGTACATCACCAGGTACACAAGGCACTCCTGAGGAAAGTCCGCCACCACGTCCTATTTATGGACGTGGCGCCTCTTCCGGTACAGCAGAAGATCACCGTGGCTACCAAATGAGAGCCAAGCCCAATTCACTAGCCGAGATATACGATGAGTGGTTTGGCTCGGGCAATTACACGGATTCCATTGGCGGCATCTCAGGAAGAAATGATCTGTTTGGCAGTGCCTGGCGAAAGCACCTGAATCAAAGCCAGTACAGTCGTCACTCCAGATTGATCAAGGGCATTTGTGCTTATGCCAACGAAAACAACCTACAGCATTCTGTTCTAGTGGCGCAATGAGAACATTTCTTTGAAGAGGCGAGAGGCAGTGTCGGAAACTTGGTGGTAACTCTACAGGAGAAAGGTTTAATAATAAGAAGAAGAGAGGTAAAAACAAATAGCGCTAGCAGTTACTTAGAACGTCTCTTGTGAGGACGCAACTCCTCCTCCAATTCTGTCATGCGCAGAGTCATTTTTTCCATAGCAGCTGTCAAGGCGGACATGGTTTCCATTAGCTCTTGATTCGATGGTTGGTTGCCTTCATTAGTTCGTGCCTTTGGAGTCGCCTTTGGTGTAGTTGGTTTGCTTCGCGCCTTGGGAGTGGTCGGTTTGATGGCTTTAACAGAGGTCAGCCAAATCCTTTTTACTCCCAGATTACTGCCTTCGGGGACCACCTCGCACATGCAAGTACCAGCATATCCCTTGAACTCACCATACCGATAGTCCTTGTACTTTCCCCTAACAATCTTGATGCGCTGTCCTTTAGTGTATTCAACCATGGCCTCAAACCGGTAACAGGTGGTGTTACTACCGTCGTCAATGGATTTCTTTCAAAGGAACGACCTCTTTTGTGTTTTTCGCGCTGAAAAAGTGACCTTACTAGAGATTACCCGTAGACTCTATGAGCGATACCCCATCAGCGATAAGTACCAGTGGGCGATAAAAATATCGGCGAAGTAACGATACTGCAATACCCTTCCGTGGAGCCTGTCGGACTTCCAAGGATCACCTTTCGCACCTCTGGCACCAAACAAACAACGGCACCCTTCCCTGCTGCAAAGTCTCCATGGGAGCGACCCCACAATTTCAAATCAATCCAAAGCAAACGGCTACATCTAGACACTATGGTTTTCCCAGTTGGGACTCGTCTTTGGATCAAGGGTGGTACTTACAAGCATCATGTGGCGGAGTACAAGAGACAGTGTGGTACTTACTATGCTTTGGTTGAGCTTGTGGATGATGGTCGGCTTGTGAAGGTTCGCTTCAACAACATTCAACTGATTCCCACCTCCTCTCGCGAAGCCGCGATTCGAGGTCGCCAAGAAGCAGCAAGGATCGCCTACCTGGGTTACGTAGAGGCTGACGAGATTGCGGCTCTTGGTGCCTGGCCTCAAGTCCCTGTGTTAGACCCCGCCCTACCTCTGAACCCAAGCAGGCGCGAACAGGCCATCCAACGTATTTTGGGAGAGGAGATCGATGAGCTCCAGCAGCAGCCAAAGGAAGAAAAGGAAGCCAATGAAGAGCTCAAGGCGAACTTTCGTGATGTCCTGAATATGTGTCTCAACAAAAAGGATCCTTAGTAGTAGTAAAATCTAGTAGTCCTTGTATTAAAACGTAACTGTTGAGTTGAACGCCATTGTCGAGTTGCTCAGATGGAGGTCTTGTTCTGGGATAAAACACTATACAGCATAACAGTAGATAATGGTCGCCTTACTAGTTTACCGAATGATGTACCAGTCAGTAGATACTTAGTTGTCGTACACCTATCTCTTTCGAAAGCATGACTCAGTGTCCGAAAGTGATGTTTCAATGCGAACCCAGAAGTACGTCAGCGAAACGTTCCTTTTAGCGAATGGCCTATTACCCGGTGGAATTGATCCGGGATTGGGATGCCGTTGAGAATCTAAGAGATTCAAATTGATTCAAATCTGCGCCATTCTCACAGTGGCCGCCAGCGGCGCCCCGTATGTACAATTTGTACTGCAAGAGGAGCCAAAACTCGTTATCGGACCGCTGCTTAAAAAGGTCCTCCTGCTAAAATTACTGTTTGGCACAGGTAGAATCTGTACTGAGTCCCGATCCCTTTCCAATCCCTCCGATTAAGCATAGACTTAATAACAGGGAAATATTTATGTCGGGCTTCCGCAGATAATTTCCCTACTCTAAAACCCCCTTATATTTATGTCGCGCAAAACGATGGGACTAATAATTTATTTATTTATTTATTTATTACTCATGGTACGGTTCATGTAGTAACTACTAGCTAGTACATGGTTCGTACCGTAAAAAGTTATGTACGTAGCGGTTACCGGTACCGTTCATGCAAAAATGTCTCAATGACACCATCCTCCCCAAAACACAATGGCGGTCAGGCCAAACACTTTTTGCCACCAGTACCGGTGCCATCTAGATAGTGGTGCTTTCAGGGCTTTCACAAGCCATAGTTTTTCAAACTCCCCCATCACAAATTTACCTCTGAAACAAAACCAGGAAAAAAAAGAAAGCCACCATTTCAAAGCCTCCAATGAAGTTTCCGTTCTTCCTGTTGGACCTTGCCGTGTTCAAGGACAACAGCACTTTTCTTGGGGCGATCTCTCGTGACCTTCAAAGCAGGAATCCATGTGGAAGTGAGTACCAAGCATATGAAGATTGCATTTCCAATCGGCCACCTTCCTGCAGGGAAGGCCTGGAAACTTGTTCAAGCATTGAAGAAGAGGATTATTGGGATGAAGAGTGCCCTGATGTTGATCGTGACTCCTGGAGCCATGCGAATCAGGACTTTTGGGATTTTAGTCCGGAAGATTGTGCGTGTATAAAAAACTACTATTGTGACTGGAGACCATCGTGCTGTGATAATCTATGTACCTCTGAAGTACATGATGCGTGGGACTGCCTCGCGTATTGGTCTGACCTTGAACCCCACTGCCCCGATATTTTCTGTTCATCAAGCAGCTCTGGAGGAGGAGACAGCTCTGGAGAGATAAGTCCAACACCAAGCGTGGACCCTAGCTGCTTTTCTGCAACCGCTTTGGTTGAGGTTTTGGGCAAGGGACAAGTAGAGATGCAGAAACTCAAGGTGGGTGACAAGGTGCTTACTACCACTGATACTGAGAAAGCTGAATATCAACCGGTGTATGCATTTGGTCATTGAAGCCCAACTACTTTGGGGCGATTCCTTCAAATCACCACTGATACCAATAGTCTCGAAATTACTGGCGAACATTTGCTCTACATGGCCGACAAGAGTCACCCTGTCTGTGCCGATTCCATCATTGTTGGTGACAAGCTTCAGACTGCTGATGGTTCTGCCAACCGGGTCAAGAAAATCAAGACTATCGTGAAGGAGGGGCTCTATGCACCATTAACTCCCAATGGAAAGCTTGTCGTCAACGGCATGCAGGTTTCGGCCTACATTGCTCTTCAGAAGGATGACCAGGAGCGGTTCACCACCCTCAATGGTCTCATCACTACTCCCCACTCATCTTACATTCATTTGTATCTCGCCCCTCTTCGTGTTGTCTGCCTTGGGATCTCTTCCATGCCCTGCCAACTAATGCATGAGAACGGAATGCCTCTCTACATCAAGTGGGGAATTGATGCTATCAATACGGCCCACCGAAACTCCAATGTCTACGCAGAACTCCTCTTTCTTGTTGTCGCTGGCTTTCTTTTGTCAGGATTTGTTGCTGTGGAGGCTCTCTTTGGTGCTTCCATGGGGCCGCTAAGTGTCTTTTCTTTTTATATTGCTTACTGTTTTGGTCGTAAAATCCATCGTGTCAAGACCAACAAAGTGAAGAAGACAGCCTGATGTGGCTAGCTAGGTATATATATGTAGTAGGCATTTTTTATATATTAGATGAGTGAAGTACCATGAGTGAAGTACCATAGTTTGATAGCATTTTTGATACAGCAAGAACTAGTAGAGCAATCTTCATACTGGTACTATAAGCCTGGATTACATTACAGATCTGAGCCTGATTCCCATCCAAGGTCCAAGGGATGCGCAGAGAGTGGATGTGGCAACTGGGGTTGTGCGTTCCTTGGCTTCCGAACGGCCGACTAGCTAGCTGAGATCACTCTGCTCTGCTGTTTTGTTTTGCGTTCTTATAGTTCTTACAACTATCTGAACATGTACTCTCTCCGCGAGACCCTCCCTCGTACCGTACTGCTTGTGCTGGCAGCATTATTTACGCATCTGCCAGTTTCCTCGCTTTGATCCTCGCTCCAACATACTTGTACGTCACAAAGTTGCTGAGATGCCCCTCATCCTCCAATTCCAGTGAGTACGAACGCAAGACTTGGGGAAGAATCCGGTTCAGGTTGGCAAGGGCCAGCCTCTGACCAGGACATTGGCGATATCCAGACGAAAACGGAAAGTGGTTCGTCTTCATAGCTTCCGTGGGGTCCTCCCAGCGTTCCGGAGAAAACTCTTCTGGATTGGGGTATACCACTGGGTCTCGACCTGCTTCGTATTGGTTGAGAAAACAGACAGCTCCCTTGGGAATGACGGTTCCATCATCTGGACACACAAACTCTCTTCCTGTCAAACGAGTTGAAGTGATGGCAGCGACAGGAACCATTCTCATGGTTTCCTTAATCACATGCTGGTAGTAGGGGTTGGCATCAGACTGCTGCATTTCCTTTCGGAGCTTTTCCTGTACACTTGGGTTCTTGGTTAGTAGAATGGACATGTTGGAAATACTGTACCCCGTTGTCTCGTGGCCCGCAATGAGTTGACCAATGATTTCTGCCACTTTCAGGTCATCATCGTCATCTGGCGTCACTTCATCAATCACCTGGATCAGGGTCTTGCAGCCCGTGGCCTTGTTGTTGGGGTTCTGGCGATAGTTCTCCAAGAGTTTGGCTGCAAACTCGTGGATAAAGGGAATGCTTTCATGCGCCTTGCGGACCTCGGGGAGCAGCTTCCCCAGTAGACCACGCCAAGGACTGACCATCTGGCGTTGAAAAAACTCCTTGAGAGCAATACTCAGGTATTCGTTGTACTGAAGGTACTCCTCCTCCGTAGGAGTGTACTGAAAGCCCGACTCGCAAATGGAAAAGAAGGCAATGCGATTGAATTCCTGGCCAGGGTCAAAGGCTTCGTCTTGCTCGGCAAGTCGGGCAAGCCGCCCCGTCATCCATTCCTCTGCCAGACGGTCCGTCACCGCACCCATACGTTCAACTTCGGCCTTGGAATACGCCGTGGCCAGATTCTTTCGCATTAACCTAGTATAGGAGTGAAAGCTTGAGCGGATGCCAAAGAATGGGCGATGGCACAGTACTGTAAAAGGCTTGTAGAGCCATGTTGGTTTGTCCGATGCAGGATCCCGATGAATCTCACTTGCCAGTTTCCCGTTGCCCACGACAAACCCTCCCTTGAGGGACATTGGAAGCGGCAAACGAAAGGTGTTACGCCCCATCTTTTTGGCAATACGATGCAACCACGTAGGTGCATCTTCTCCTCCAATCTCGGAAATGCATTCCAAGATTCCAACCGGTGCCATGGGAACCCATTTCTTCTTCTTGTCGTCCTTGCCGTTGGCCCTCATCATGTTGACAAAGGAAATAAGAAGGACAGAGCTCACTATCAGCGCTGCGGCAGCACCGCTATGTTCAAAGAGTACGTTTATCATTTTAAGCCTTTTGTTTTAGGTTTTGTGGTCAATATCGAATCGACAAGAGCTTTCTTCAACCTCCAGCTCACAAGGCTGTGCACGGTACCATGATTGTTTGACGGATCGTACCGGTTCTATTTGTTTCTGACTCTTGCAAGAGTATCCGCAGCGATCGAGCTCTTGCCAGCGCACTTACGTCGTTGGTGAAGAGACAAGACGGGTCAGGACCATCATGAACTTGCTTGTGCAAACTCATGCTGTAATCGCTTGACAACCTTGTAGATCCTCAGCAGGCATGTAGGACACGATTGCGGATGCGCAATAAGATCGGCTCGCTTCTACTGGTACGCTGTACCGTTGCTGGGATGTGTGATTCGATTCGTTCGACTCGATTCAACCTTTCCTGCGTGTAAGCACAGACTTGCAGTATGGTACTACAATGTCATGTACTGGTAGGGAAACCTGGGGAGTATGATGCTTGTAGTTGGATCCCGCTACAGCCAGGCAGCTAAAGCGTGATCTGTTTACTTGGTGCTCGACGCTTAGACAAAGCTCACAAAATCCAAAAACAACAACAAGCAACACAACACAACACAACAAACAACAACAATTTCACAGCAAATACCAACCATGGCATCTTCCACCACGAACAATAACATTGGTCCGGTCCTGGACTTTGAGCCTACTCAACCACGCAGTGATGGTCGTCCCCACCTCACTTGCGACAATGTTATTGAAGCTGACATCAATGAGCATGTGGAAGAAGCTCATGAACATGCCCTAGAATGGGCTCTGCAGATTGGTTTGGTCCGCAAGGACACCAAGAAGTTTAAAAAGTTCGCGGCAGCCCGTTTTACCTGGCTTGCAGCACGTGCTTATCCAACAGTAGGCCTAGAAGAGCTCAAGCTCATCTCTGACTGGATTGCCTTTCTCTTTTTCTACGATGACCTGTGCGACACCACAGAAAGCGTTGAAGACGGGAACATCCATCAGCTGGCAGCTGCCGAGGATCGTTTGATTGCCATTGTGGCGAATCACGGTCACAACAACCAAGAAAGCCCCAATGATGGTCCAATTCATCATTCCCTCATCAGTATTTGCGATCGGGCTGCTATGATGGGAGGTGGCATCTGGTTGAAGCGCCTGGCCTTCCACTTAGAAGAATACATTCAAGGCTGTCGCTGGGAGCGGGTGCTTCGTCTCCAGGGCAAGACTCCATCCATTGCTTCCTACTCAAAGCTTCGTCTCATTATCAGTGCAGTACATCCATGTTTTGACTTTGCTGGCCTCTGCATTGATCCATCCAAAACAGACTTTGCTGAGAACCCTCTAGTGCAAAAGCTGGAAATGATGGCAAACAACCACATTTGTTGGGTGAATGATGTGTATGGTGTGGACAAGGAGATCAAGGAGGAAACAACAAGCAACATTGTAGTTGTTATTGCCCATGAGAATGGACTGCCATGGAAAGAGGCTCTCGATCGCTCAATTATCATGTGCAACAAGGAAGCAGAGGCCTTTGTGGAGCTTGAGGAGTGCATCCTGACTCTTGGCACTGTTGATGACAACACCAAGGCTTACATTCATGCACTCAAGACTTGGATGCGTGGAAACTTTGACTGGTACTCTGAAACTGGAAGATACAAGGCAGCCCAAAAAGCCAAAGGGAATGATGGTGGTGGTCGTCGTCGTGCCTCTTCATTTGTCCGGCAATCCTGGCGTATCATGGGAGACCAGCTTGAAGAACTACGAGCACTTGATGCATTGGCCAAGCAATAAGACTGATTGTTGGAAGAAAATGACCCGAGGAGAATGTTTGCCATTGTGGAGTTGACAGAAGAAAGCAGAAAATAGCGACGCAATGATGTAACAGAATAAGGTTTCATTCGGCACGGTAAGCTGCGAGGGAATGGCGTACTCCTTGGTCAATAGTGATAGATAACAGACCATCAAAACTAAATCGAGATTTCAGCTGCATCAACCTCGCCAGCTACATGCACCTATTGTCCTGACTAAATTGTGAGTGGGTATGCGCCCGCTGTTTGCTTGCCCGTTGCTCCAGACTTTTTCTCTTCCCCGTCGCTGTGCTTCGTGGCCGGCCGTGATAAAACCTTTTTTGATTGATTGTTGATTGAAACAGCCACACAGAAACCTGCAGACTCACACTGATTCTTACGCTGATGTCCAAACCACGACCGACTGCCGGTATAGTAGGAGCCTTCTGATGGATGATCACTTTTTACTTGAGAAACCACACACTAGAGCCAAACATCAACAAATTGATCCTAGCAGAAGCAATCGTGATCCACCACGTACTAGTAGTCGTATCACAGTGAATCTACCAACCATTTGTTCACAAGTCAAGTTGCATCCATGTCTTGCTAGCTCGTCTAGTTTATTGCTGCCGAATGTTGTCCACGTGCCTTGCTCTGGCTAGTCAAAACTGCATCTCTTGTCCTCTCTGGACCTACTCTGCATCTGTTTGGCAGGTTGGTATAAGGATGGTGGCCACGTGAAGTTCGTCAAGGTGCTTTCCCGATTGCAGGCAGGATGGTAGCAGCCTTCTGTCGGTGTCACGCCCAATTCCACTCCACACTGTCTGTTGTACGTAGAGAGTGCCAAGGACAGGAGTTCCGAACCACTATCCAATCGTTTCCCAAAGTGTAGTCCCACATTGCCTCGGCTCTTGAGGTAAGGCACAACTGTCTCTTTGATGAACTTGTTCAATTGATCACCACTTCCCTTTGGTGCATAAATATCAATGGTAGCAATCGGAACTGACCAACAGGACTTCTCTGTGCCCGCAGAGACCTTTCTAATGAGCACTCCAAAGTAGAGAGGAAGGGTATCTTTGGTAAACAGGCCATCTTCCATTGCAGACATCAGCGTATCCCATTCAGTGTCAATTCCATAGTCCTCAGAATCCAAATCTGCGAAGATGGGTATGGCGACAGGGAATTGCGCGCTTGACAAGCTACCGACAACTAGCAATCTTTGGATACCCGTGAAACCAAGTAGAGGAACGTATTGGTAGATCCAGCTTGGAAGAAAGGTCTCAAACAAATTTGTTACGGTTGACAAAATGGTACCAAAAAAGGGGGCAACATTTGTTGGTTGCCAGTACTCTGCAACAATAGAGTATCGGCTGACGTAAATGGCATTGGCCTGTGCAAACTTGTCTTCTTTTGCGTTTTTCGGAATCCAAAAGTCGTGAGTGACTGCATAAAATTCTTCTGGCTGGGTGAATGTTTTATCCAGACAAACACCATTGATCTGTCCTCGACTAGCCGCCAACAAGTCGTCAGTCATGTTGGGTCCAGCTGGGATATTGCTGTTGCTGCCAACAGAATAGCTGGTGACAAAGTCATAGAGAAAATTGGACTCCATTCCAAGAAAGACACTGCCACTCCCTGAGATCAAGTGGCCTGTTATAGAAATTGTCGGGTTTGATGGTTGTCGAACAGGTGTGCCCAATGCGTCAGCCAATTGGCCATAAGTCACTCTCCCATCAATACAGATTTCTCCATCATCCATGACAGTAATTGTTCCTTCGCAGAGAGCCTCTACTTCCAGGTCATTGGGAAAATCTTGTTGCCACAAATCTTTGAGATGTGGCTGTTTCTTAGCTCCCTTTCTACATGTTGTGCGAGCTTGTGATAGCGCCTGATCCACAGTAAGGAATGCCAACGCAATCAAAACCGACGTTGCCTTTGACAGAGCCCGCATCATGGTGCTTGAAACATTCTTGCCAATCGAAATCTGAGGACTGGGGTGCTTGGCCGTGAGCCAGAAACTTTTTCAGAAAGGGTCCTGCTGTACGGTATGCATGCAGAACTTCCTAGCGAGCGAAATGGAGTGTTGGTTTACAGTAGAAAGTTCTGATTGCGGCAACTGTGACAGCCCAACGGTCGGCTCCTTCGCTGAATCGAATCGACACTCCTTCCCAGGTCCAGGTTCTGTATCATACTGTACCGTACTCTCCTTGAATTGAATTTCTGGAGCAGGGATGATTCTATGATTCTATGCCCAACAACAACTTGCTACATCCCTGGGCTTCGCTATGAGGTATTCCGTGTGCGTTTCATAGGTACCTGGTACTCAGGCTGCTGTCCAATTTATCTGACGTACCAGGTACCAGGTACCGGTAATTCGTTCTTTCAATGGTACCATGTGGTCGTCGATCTTTCGCACCGTTGACTCCCAGCTACGCTACCGGTAGCTTGTAGCAGATTGCATTGTATAACTTCAGGGCTCACTCCATCTCATGCTATAAAGAGGAGCGCGGACAACGGGGAGCCGATTTCATGGTCAACGCTTAGATCTACTTTTTCAGTTGTTCTTTTATCCGCCCTTCCCTTCCTTCGATGCCGCCTCTTCCCACATGACGATCGACGGACAGATCTGCGGAGTACACCATGAAACAGCCCGTACAGTTGGCTGTTCATTCTGCGCAGTTCGCTAGCTAGCTAGGTTCCTCTGTTCCATCTTCATCATTCTTATCAATCCTCCACGGAAAACAATCATAGATACTTTTACGGTGGCTCTACTATAGTCGTCAATCCAAAGTTTTCAATGGGCTCATGAAAAACATTTCGATGGAAAGAACTCTCTTGTTACTTTAACTTTGTGGGGCAGAGAAAAAGGTCAACCCTACTCTACAGCAGAGTGCCGAAAAGTTCAAAAACGCAGACGCAAACCATCATAAAACGATTGGTCAAGGTGCATGTTGCTTACACATTTCTCTAGAGACTCTAATAATAAAATTCCGAACCTGCACTACTGCTAACTAAAAAGTGATGTTCCTCTCTAGTGTTTGGGCTCTAGTGTTTGGGTGGTCCACGGAAAGGGTTGACGCGGGCAAAGATTGTGTGTCCTCGGAAAAAGTGCTGAAAGGCTCCGGCAACATGCAAGGGAACCACGAACTTTCCATAGGTTCCCAATTGCTTGTGGATTTTGAAGCTCTTTTCGTACATGTATAGAGAAGAAGAAGAGAAAAGGGGAAATGGTTGAGTACCAATCGAATCCCAATGCTTTTCAAAGAAGAAACAAAAAAAAGACCTACATTCTTGGCAATGGATCCATTTCGGGCTTTCGTGTCGTCTGTGCTCACAATTCCACCGAATGTGGTGCCAAAGAAAGGAAGTCCCTTGCCTAAGGTAGGTAGCAAAACAAAATAAATCCCAAGAATTGGTTAGGAAACAGATTTCTCATTGGACTCGACTTTCGACATCGAACATAATTATTTTCCTCGAATTGTTGTCTGCAACACTCACCACCAAAGTATCCCATGGCAATGCCGGTGGCAGGCATGACGGTCATGAAGCCATAGAGTGCATAGTGGGTCAAACTGGCGGCCTTGTGTTCTACATCGGATACTCCTGGGATACCCTTGACTTTGTACTGTTTGTTTTAAAAAAGAAAAGAAAACATGAGTGACACCGTGTGTCTCTCTCATTTTTCCGTGTCACGCACACATTGACTCACCGCTGCCATGTTCCCCAAACGGTAGGCCACACGAGGAAGCACAATCATGCCAGTCAACAAGCCCAGACTCTTGTGGCGATGCATCCACGTGCCCTTTTCCGACTTGGGCGCATCTTGAGCCTTGAGAACGGTTCCCACACAGCCAATCTGGTTGAGTAGGTTGAAAAATACAAGTATAAAAGGGTGTGTCAGTCAAACGAAGGGTTGCTGTTAATTATTAAGAGGGAGAAGAGAGGCGAAGGATTCTCACCAAGGGAATTGCAGTGGCCCAATGGAGCCAAGAGGCACCAACGCTGTAGGCTGCTTTGGGAGCATTCATCTTCCGCTTCGTCTATCCTCCCTCTTGCTAATAACAATCAATGCGTTCCTTTGCTCACAGTCTTCTTCTCTGCCAGCAGCGAACGTCAAAGATTGTCATGGCCCGAAGCAGAAAGCAGAATTCAACTCCTCCAGCGATGCGATCTTGCCCAGGCTGTCAAGAGCGAAAGATCCAAAAGATTCAGTCCTCAGTCACGAAATAATTAGGATTCTGATCGCTCCGATCCGATTCGAATCGAATCTAGTACAGTATGTAGTGTGCCGACTACCGGTATGATGACAGACAGACTGCTTGAGACAGAGTCTGCATGTACCTTGAAGTGTGGTAAATGACTTTTGCTTGGCTCCACTCCGCACACTCATATGGGCTCGAATCGACTTGACTCTCTTGGCTTGCTAGCTAGTGGCTCTACATAGTGCTACCGTAGCCATTAGCAATTTCAACAGCAGAGGCAGTGTACAGAAAGGAAGAGGGTAAAGAAAGGACTTCCGGGTTCCTGATGGCTCCTCTACAGCCTGCTTTCGTGTCGTGACGACATGAAGCCAGCCCGTAGAGCATGGATCGTTTCACGTATATGGAGTATTTAATAACAATGATAAAATGACGTTTTACCCTATGCGTTTTGGGTACTTAAAGTATTGTTTAACTATAATAAAATAACGTTTTACCCCATCCCCCTGAAACACAATTATCTTTCCTTTCTGACGCGGGGGAAACCCGATCTGGTAGGGCCGCTGTTTAGATAGCTCTGAGGGCTTAGAGCTGAAGAGAACTCACACCGGAAGAGGTGCTTCCGTGGGATTGAAGATTCGATTCAACTTTGCTTCCGGCAGCGAATAAAAAGAAGGGACAAACTGGTGCCATGAGCATCCAACGGCAGCACAGAAACTGTGTTCAAACTGCTAAAACCTTCCATCTTTGTCAACACCAAACACTCAAATCCACCATACAAATCCCTTCAACGAAGCTACACCCTACAGCAACACAAGTAACACTGCAACAACCATTCATCATGAAGCTCTGGCAACAACATGGCTATGCATGACAAGCCAAAAGAGATTTGTAATACAGACAAAAAAAGAGGGAACAGTTAAGTTTGCATTCATTTTTGCAGAGTGATGCCTGCACCTCCACTACCTTTCCTCATCTAACTCAAGAACTAGTCCGGAAGTAGCTACTGTGGAAAGATGCTTGTTGAAGAGTATACCATGGGCTGTAACATACTGTGAGCAGAAGGAATTTCCTCGACTAGTTGTGAAGTAAGCCTTTGTTTTGAGGAAGCTCTATTGAGATTTTTTTAGTTGGTGACAGCACCTTCCTTTATATTCATGGAACCCGATCACTTTGTGCGCACAGGGGCCCCTCCCCCTGTGCGCCATGCTACCAGCTGGAAAACAGGTCAACTTTACCTGTGTCAAAGAGTGAAAACCTTATTTCTTTTTCAAAACTGTTAATGCTTGGTCCTGAAAAGTCAACTCTGAGTCATGCTTTACAGATCGTGAATTAAATTTTCAAATTCAATCCGGGAGGACCTTTGGACAGGTTCTTTTGCGTAGGCCCAGTACATTTTCTACGGCTGGACTTTACCTGTCTTAGATTTACCTGTTTCCCAGCTGGTAGCATGGCTTCTGCAGCCCCTACTCATGCAGCCTTTTGCGGCTGGGGCATTGGAACTAGTCGAATCTCCTCGATTGATTCCAATCGAATAATTCGATTCATCATTCAATCATTCGATCGATGATTCGATTCGATTCGATCCAATAATTTGTTTGTTTATTCATGCCACCACGGCTCGGGTCGCCGACGGCACAACGGCACAACACTCGCTTCCTTGGGTAACAAGGTATTGCATGATTCGAGATGTGGGTACCAGTAAGTGTACCAATAGGGACGGCCGGTTGTACGTTATTGGAAGCCATCATTGTCACCGCGAACCACTCCTGCCGTCACAATCCTCATAAGGGAGCATATCCTTGTCACTCAGAGCACATAGATTACTGCACCTACCAGGTATCTGGCGATCAAAATACACGTCGAGAAGGGTCTGGCCTTTTAATAACGAAAGGGCCCAACGGCAATGGAACTTCATACAAAATGGTGCAAAATTACATCAAATTGGAAGTTCTGGCAGACTCTGATTACTCATGCATATTTTTTATTGACTTTCACAAACATGAATTTGCAAAAAGGCTCCAAGCTACGGTACCATGCATCGGGTCATTTTTTTTTTAAAGGAGAGTTCAAGGAAGAAAAAGGTGACAATGGAGCAAAGCAACGACGAAACCAGCAAAGTCCATTTGGACGACAGCTCCGAAGAAGAGATAGATGTAGACGAGCTTGCCGCATTGCTCGAACAACAGGAGCATGAAGATCTGATACCCAAACCTGCCGGAAGGGGTACAGGGTCCAACGAAAAATGCATGCCGGGCACACCGGAACTGCTGTCTGCCCCAACTGCCAACACAAAAGGCAAGTCTACTAGTGGTATGGATACAAACAACTGCAGTCCATCAGAGGCCCCGACTCTTAGGGCTACAAACACAGCAAACAATGACGCTAGCGACACCATGGATGTGAAAATCAAGTACAATCCTAAGGTTCTGCATTTTCTCGATCCATCAGGGGTGGCTCGAGCGCAACTAGAAGGCAGTGATTCAACGGACAAAGAAGAGAACAATGATACAAGCAAAGCGGAAAAGAAGCCAACGATCTTGCATTTTCTCAGGCCATCATCAGAAATGCCACCAGAAGAACAAAATGGCGTGCAAAATGATAGTGATGGCAATCATGCCTCTGCTCCACCTCGTGAAGATATTGGACAGGTGCCTGGTGCCTACGCTTACGAAAATGGCACACTGCTGCCTGCAGCTGAGGCAAATGCTGAAGAGGCTGATGATGACTTCGATTGGCATCAATACCAACAGGACCAGGACGACGTGGTGAACCTCGTTCCTGGACCGCCTGAAGTGGGAGCAGGGCCTGTGGATTTGGTCACTGCCAATCCAGTGGCAGACCTTGAAGGCTTGCAAACTGCTCAACTCAAGAGCCGTGAATCTGCTCAAAGCAGAGATTGCTGCTATCTTTCTTTGCTTGTGACTTGTGCCATTGTGGCAATATCTGGAGGAATTGTGCTTTGGTTTGTGTTCAAGCCAAATGATGACTCTGGAGACACTAGTGTTCCTTCCGGTAACACTTTCAAAACCAAGCTACCACGAAAGGAACACATGCTATCCCTGTTACCAAACTACACAGTTGATGAAATCGATGTGAAGAACTACAGTAGCAGCCTTTCAGCCACATATCAGACAAGAGCCTTTAACTGGACGATGCATGACCCAAGCTTTGATTCCTATGATGACATGAGGCTGCTCGAGAGGTTTGCACTGGCGTGTCTGTACTTCTGTACTGGTGGAAACAGTTGGCAATCAGATGGAAATTGGTTGTCCTATGAAATCGACGAGACAAGTTGGTACGAAAGTTTAAACGATTTTGACTTTTTCGCAAAGTTGATCGACCCTCCCAGCGATACGTTGACGCGTGTTTGGCTTTCTGGCAATGGCCTTTCTGGTTCCATACCGCCAGAGCTGTTTCTCATCACAACACTGAAGTTTGTTGACTTCTCTTTGAACGAGAACTTGATTGGAGTTTTGCCATCTGAGATTGGAAACCTTCATCAACTGGATCAAATATCTTTGTTCCGCACTTCTTTGTCGGGGACTCTTCCAACTGAAATAGGCCAGGCATCGAACCTACTGGCCATGTTCTGCTCTCGATCAAGGATTCAAGGCCAGCTTCCATCTGAATTTGGACTGCTGGGGAGACTTCTTTACTTGCAGTTACAGGAAACACTCTTGTCTGGTGAAATCCCCTCTGAAGTTGGCCTGTTGCCTCTACTTGTTCATCTGGACCTTGCAGGTGACCAACTTGGAGGCACTTTGCCAACAGAGCTGGGTCAGTTGAGCACACTGTTGTGGCTGAATCTCGATTTCAACCACATCACTGGCACCATTCCTTCTGAGCTTGGTGGCATACTGCAAGATCCTCTCACAACACACTATGACAAGTATTATGCCCTGGCGGAAGAAGTGATACCAGGATTTGATATCACGTTTATCCTGGACCTGATCAAAAGTGAGTTGGACCAAACTAACACAGGGCTATCGCTTGAAGGAAACTCATTGGGGGGGACTATTCCATCAGAGCTGGGCAGGTTTGTTGACGCCCAGTCACTTTGGCTCGAGTCAAACCAACTGTCTGGTAGGATTCCCAGTGAGCTTGGGCTAGTTCAAAGTCTTCAAGATCTCTACTTTTCCTCCAATGAACTGTCTGGCGAGATTCCCAGCGAGCTTGGGCTATTGACACGTCTTCGCGTGCTTGACCTTGAGTCAAACCAACTGTCTGGAAAGATTCCCAGTGAGATTGGGCTATTGACAAGTCTTCGATCGCTTTACCTTGGGTCAAACCAACTGTCTGAAGAGATTCCAAAGGAGCTTGGGCTATTGACAAGTCTTCGATCGCTTTACCTTGGGTCAAACCAACTGTCTGAAGAGATTCCAAAGGAGCTTGGGCTATTGACAAATCTCCATTGATTGTGACTGCACTAGTTTGCTGTGCGGGTGTGATTGTGCATGTGAATTAAGAAGTTGTTTGTGTTTTAATAATGTATGTGAGTTGCGTGGAGAGACTGCCTCTGGACTTCGGATGTTAGTCTGTGTGGATATAATCGTTCCAGTTCTACCGCCCTGTTCACTCGATGTCAAGCGAGCTTTGGCCACAATTTCGTCTTGAATCGAATGCTCGACCCTCTCCTGACAAGGACAAGGACGTTGCCTCGTCGAGAGTGTCCAGAGGATACCTGTACCGTAGTAACTGTTGTAGCTTTTACACAATGACTAATAGTAAATGGAGACTTTCGGAATGGTCGTCTCCAATACACCCACCGGTGTTCTCGCTTTCCTTTTACACCCCGATGGTTGTGCGTGCATTGGGCACACATTGAAAGCTAAAACAAGGCGGACAACCAATACGTAGGGTAGGCTCCGCCTTTTTTGCTGAGAACACGCTTTTCTAGTTCTTAGATATTATTATTAATCTTGAAAAAGAGATGAACCCTTCCAAATCCAAAAAAGACAGATCCTTTTGTGAGTTTCGTTTTCATTTCGATCATGTTTGTTTCCACATCAGTCAGTTTACATTGCCATGCTAGCAGCCTTCTCCTTGACATCATCAATGTTTCCAACCATGTAGAAAGCACCCTCTGGGAGATCATCGTATCCTCCGCTGATGATTTCCTTGAAACCGTCAATGGTGTCGGCCAATGAGACAAACTTTCCAAGAGTTCCGGTAAAGACCTCGGCGACGTGGAAAGGTTGGGACATGAATTTCTGGACCTTACGAGCGCGACTGACGGTGAGCTTGTCATCTTCTGAAAGTTCGTCCATACCCAAAATGGCAATGATATCTTGCAAACTCTTGTAATCTTGAAGGAGCTTTTGGGTGGCACGGGCGACTTCGTAGTGCTCTTGTCCAATGACACGTGGGTCAAGCATACGGGAGGTGGAGTCAAGAGGATCGACAGCGGGGTAGATTCCAAGTTCGGCAATGGATCGGGAAAGCACCGTGGTGGCGTCCAAGTGAGCAAAGGTGGTTGCGGGGGCGGGATCTGTAAGATCATCAGCTGGCACGTAGACGGCTTGGACGGATGTAATGGATCCCTTTCCGGTGGACGTAATACGTTCTTGAAGACCACCCATATCTGTGGCGAGTGTAGGTTGGTATCCGACAGCCGAAGGAATACGACCCAAAAGAGCCGACACCTCGGAACCGGCTTGAGTGAAACGGAAAATATTGTCCACAAAGAGAAGCACATCCTGTCCTTCTTCGTCACGGAAATACTCGGCAATGGCGAGTCCAGTCAAGGCAACACGGGCGCGGGCACCTGGGGGTTCGTTCATTTGTCCGTAGACGAGGGCCGCCTTGGATCCCTCGGTGGAGCCAGTGGCTTCATCAATCTTGATGACTCCTCCCTCAATCATTTCGTAGTACAGATCGTTTCCTTCACGGGTACGTTCTCCGACACCGGCAAAGACAGAGTATCCTCCGTGGTTCATGGCAATGTTGTTAATAAGTTCCATGATGACGACGGTCTTACCGACACCGGCTCCTCCAAAGAGTCCAATCTTTCCTCCCTTGGCGTAGGGGGCGAGAAGGTCGACGACCTTGATTCCAGTGACGAGAATATCCTGAGTACGTCCCTGTTCGCTAAAGGTAGGAGCAGATCTGTGAAGAGGAGCATACTTTTCGGAGGCTTTGTCGGTAAAGATGGGTCCCTTTTCATCGACGGGTTCTCCAATCACGTTGATGATGCGTCCCAAGGTTTCGGGTCCGACGGGGACTTGAATGGGAGCTCCCGTGTCTTCGCATTTCTGTCCACGAACAAGACCTTCAGTAGACTCCATGGCAATGGTACGGACCGTGTTCTCTCCAAGATGCTGGGCGACTTCCAATACCAAACGCTCATTGCCCTCGGGGACTTCCACCTCCAAGGCGTTGAGAATCTTGGGAAGTTTCTCCTCGAATTGAACATCGACAACGGCTCCAATCACTTGAGTCACCCTACCAGTACTCATCAGAGCGGACGTGCCATGGTAGGCACGTTTGCTCATGCCTATATGACATCAATCATACAAAATCAATCATCATGGTGAGAGGCGAAAATAAATTCTTGGAACCGATAAAACTCAAAAAACCCAACAGGTTATGGGCACCATCGGAGGACAGCAAAGCACTGCCGATGGCCGATGGGGAAGATGATGGACAAGAGTAAAAACCAAGCCGCTCCATCTAACGCCGCTACTACATCTACTACTACTACATCCAGAACTACAGGTCGTTCACAAACAATTGGTTGTTCTTACCGAGCTGTGCTAGTCGTCGGGCTGCTATCATTGTCTCGTATTGTTGTGTGTTGGGTCAACAACGAGTTGTGTTCTCTCTCCCTCTTTGCGTGGTTGGTGCGATCTTCTGGAATCTTTTTGGGCAACACGTACGCGTACGTACATCCCCTACCATTGGCTGGTTCCATGAAAACTTGAAAAGATACCAAAATGGCATTTATTATAATCCGTTTGCACAAATATATTATTCATAAATGGTGAATGATACTCATTTTACGTTAATAATATCCATTTTATAATTCCACTTCATCCAAAGGCAACGCAATGATGACGAACATGCTCGGTTGACGGACAGACTCTTGGCTTATGCCTCGTCACAAATCGACTCGACAACGCAACAGCAGCAACAGCAAGTGCAGCAACACTTGGATCCATCCATCGGCATTCCAACTATTAGATTGACCATGTTGTCCAGAACCGCCCACCAACTGATCCGACGCGCGGCCACACGAGCCTTTAGCAGTGAGGCGGCGGCTTCCACGCAGGTGACGCTCAATTTTGCCTTGCCCGATGAAACCGTCTACAATGGCGCTTCCGTCTATCAGGTAATCATCCCCGGTACCGAGGGTGAGTACGGTGTGACTGCCAACCACGTCCCCTACGTTGCTCAGTTAAAGCCGGGAGTCTTGCAGATTCTCCATGAGGAAGTGGGAGGAGGAGAACCCGAAAAGTACTTTGTGGCAGGAGGATATGCCTTGACCCACGCCAACTCGGTGACGGTAAGTAGCCTACTGTACAGTAGTAGTAGAAAGAGGTCGCTGGGGAATTGGTTTTTCCCATTGCAATCTCATGTTATTGTGTTTTTATTTGCATTTTTGCAGGACGTCATCTGCCCCGAAGCTGTCAAGCTGGATGATATTGATGCCACTGCTGTCTCCAGTCAATTCGAAAAAGCCAAGAGTGCCTACGCCAGTGCCGCATCAGGAAGCTTGGAACAAGCAGAAGCCCAGGTCGAAATGGAAGTCAACAAAGCCATGGGATTGGCCATTGGAGTCAACCTCAGTTAAATTCAGCACACGACAATAGCATAATTTGATTTGAATGGAAGGGTTGCCATGGATCTATTCATTCTAAAATTCATCAATGTCATTCTTTCGTGGAAGATGTGGCTCCCTGAACTCTTTTTTATAGTGTTTCCCCAACTAAGATAGTAATTCTTCTCTTGACGCCTGCCTGACTTGGTTTTTGAGAAACAAACTCTGCCGTATGATCCTATCCTAGCTAGTTTGTTTTAGTAATGTCTACTGTTCGGGAATAGCTAGCTAGCAGTAGAAAGTATAAATATGCAGACTAAGCCCACAAAACTAGGGTTCCCTTGCGGTCAATGGAGGCTACCTGTTGACCACTCGCGCCTCCTCGTCCCCAGGCAAATCCACAGACGCCGGCATTGTGGCCTTGTTCGAGTTTGGCCTTGAGCTCACCATCGTCGGTGTTCCAAACAAAAATGGTTCCGGTAGAACTAGAACCTGCTGCAGCGTAGGCTCCTTTTAGAAGAAAGAGATGAGATGAGATAGATATTTGGTGGCAGAGATTGTTGTGCCACGAAAAGATTAGATGATATGAGTGGTCGAATATCCAGCATAGCCACCTTTTGCTGTCCTACCATGGCTAGCCAGCCAAACTTACCATTGGAACTCAATGCAGCTGCGCTCCAGCTTTGACCAGTGTGGAAGGATTGATGCCGAAAGGTATGAATGGCGGCGCCCGTTCGAATGTCCACAAGTTTCAAGCAAGAGTCCAATCCATTCGTCAACACCTGTGTACTGTCTGCAGGGTTGAATTGTACCGAAGTGATGGAGCTCTCATGTAGTCCTGAGAAAGTATAGTTGCAGAGATAGATAAGCATTATCAGACTGTATTGGGAACCAAACCCAGGAACCAGATGAATCCACAGCGCACTTTTTCTTACCACTGATATCCATGGTTCTTTCTCCGGACCGGACGTCCCAGAATCGCAGACCGCCATCGTGATGGCCCGATACGACATCGACTCCATTGGAACCAGCGTCAATGCTATTGCATGTAGAACTATGGCGTAAGGTGACGTTTTGACGGTAGGTTTGCGCCCGAATGTCCCAAACCTTGAGCGAGCGATCAGCAGAACCCGAAATGACGCTTTGTCCATTGTCGAATAATCGGACGCAAGTCACCTTTTGCGCGTGTCCCACGAGATGATGAATCTGTAATGATACACAGAGTCGTGCCAGTCAGCTATGGCTATGGAATGCAGTCACAGATATATATAGTTTTCAGCACATTCCTCATACATCTCGTCAAAGACACCCTTACCATTCGTTCGGTTCTCATATTCCAGACTCGACACGTCTTGTCCGAAAAGGCACCCGCCACCAAGTGCCCACACATGTCACAGCCCAGGATGACATGCCCACTTGGACCTCGCAGCGTTGCCCTCACGCCACCTGTTCCAACATCCCACACTTTGACAAGTGAATCACTGCCACCCGTCACCAGTAGATCAGTTCCCATGGAGTCATACCGGACACTTGTTGCCTCTGCCGTGTGAGCATGTATGACTTGTTTGGGACCCGAAGGGACAATCACTCCCAACATGCCAAACTTTCTAGAATTCTTCTCCGCATCGGACTCTTTGGATTTGTCTTTGGTGTCTTTATCTGATGTGGAGGATCTTCCAAACCATCCTCCACTCTTTCTCTTTTCTTCCTGCTTTTTGAGAGATCTGAGCATGTCAACCTCTCGTTTGAGACTGTCAACCATTTCTGTCAAAACGTTCATTTCATCCGACATTTTGCCCTTATCTTGCACTAGTCTAGATTCAATGGTAGAATTCTCTTTCTTGAGATCATCATTCTCCTTTTGCAGAGACCGAATGGTTTCCTTCAATCCGACGTATTGTTGTTCTGCCAGTTTGGTTCTTGCCTGAGCATCATTCAGTTGCTCCGTCAAATGCTCAATGGCTTTTTCTTTCCTGTCGTTCTCCTTTTTGAGATTGGTGATTGTAGACTCTTGTGCCTGATTCAGATCCTTCATATCCGACAGATCCTTGGCGGTCTTGAGCGCTTCGGCTTGATCCTCGGCGTGGGCCGTGAGTTTGGAATTCAATTCTTCCTGCAATTTTTCCAGCTTTTCTCGGAGCCGTGTTTCATTCTTCAATGCTGCCGTCGCGGCGCCCGAATTGTTCTTGGCGCCACCGCCGCCTTCATCCAACTGCTGTTGCAACGAGGCTATATCCCGCTCGTATTCCACACACTTTTCTTGCAGGGAATCTACTTGATTCAACAGCGTGGCGTTGGCTTCGTGAATCGAGACGAATGGATCTGTTTCTCGGGCATTCCGCTCCAGGATCTGCTGGTAAATACCCAACATGGATGATTATCTCAAATTTAATAAATGATCAAGGGAAGAAAGAAGTACAAAGAAGATGCAAGGGTTTACTGTAACACAAGTATACAGTAATTGAACTCTCCTCTTTGATGTGAGTGTTTGTTGTCGTCGAGTCGTGCCTGAAGTGGTGCCAATAAGTAAGCTGGCAGATCAGGCAAGCAACTTGTCACCGGCGATCCACACACTGGCAGCTCCCACGGCGTAGACGGTCAAGAAGCGGACAGCCAACATTCTTTGTCAATTCCACGCTTCGATATTGGATGACAAGGGTGTCTGTTGTGGCTGTCTATGTGACGATTATTTGACGAGTCAACTAATACTTGTCATGATGTTGTCCCGAATCCAAAGCAACTTTAATAAAACAAACTATCGGGTACCGCACTCTATTGGCCTCCTGGTTGCTGCACTATCCAGGGGTAGATCTAGGATCAATATCGGAGATCTTGGACGTCTCATCAATCAAGCCATAGGCACTGGCAACAGTCCCTAAGCAAACCTTGCCATCGTCGTCGTTGTTCTTCTTCGCTGTAGTTTGCTCTTCACCATTGGCCTCCTCATTTTCGGGAGCGTCTAGTTTGCTTTCTGACTCTTCCGCGCTCTCTTCTTCTTCTTCTTCTTCGTGTTTACGGAATTCGATTCCTCCAGCTTGAACGGCTTTCTCGGGTACGAAGTTCATGCTTTCACTCTTGGCCGGAGTCCACCATTCCGGCGCTGACAAAGCGCGGCCCTCAGGACTCTCGTCGCCGATCCAGCAAAAGGAAATGGAGCCTTGCTTGCCAAAATGGATCCAGTCGCAATTGTTACATGGTCCATTGTTCTGATCCACGACAACCAAGTCAAGAGCCTTCTTGACCACTCGGCCTTCTTCTTGATCTTCTTCGTTTTCCACCGGAACCAACCACCTCAAACCATGCTCTTGCAAGTGCTCAACAAACTTACCCACATCTGGTGGCATCATGAAGGACGCACAGGCCAACTCTCCGTCCGTGCAAAATGTGTTGTTGGGGACTGCTACCTCTTGAAATCCTTTCATTCCACCGGGATACGTCGTCTCGATCGCCTCGCATTGGACGACGACTGTAATGGCAATCACAACGACCGGCATTGTACTGCTTTCTGTACGTCCCGCTGCTTCTATTCTGTGCTTATGTTATATGCTTTCTGCTCTGTTTCTAATGTACCGGTATAGATTCCCCGGAAAAGTCCTAGCGGTACAATGGTACGCTTTGCCAATCGTTGCTCACACAAGAACCTCTGCTTCTTTCAAGCGCTGGAACGTCTGGCCAGACTCGACTTGACTCGACTCGACTCGACTCGACTCTGGCTGCGCTAACTGCGGCTTCTCGTTCTCTTTGAGACTTGCTACTTGCAACCTTTTCTTTGGATCTTTTGACATGCACGACTGAAAGATTCGGTGGGAAAAGAGAACGATGAGCGATAGGCAACAGGGGCAACACCGGCAACAGAAGTGACCCCCACAACCAACGCAACCCCTCTACCAGAGGTCGTTTTGCCGTCAGCTCTCAGTGGCGGGCAAGTGCTTTGTGTGTGGTGTGGGTGGCCATACTTTGTGCCGCCTCGGTGTACGTTATCATTACTTGAGCGCTCCAAAAGAGCTTCCTCCCTCCTCCCCATTCCTCAAAGCTACCCGACACGACGGTGAAAGCCTTGCAAGAAAGGAACTCCCCGCAATTCAAGGCGATGGAATGGCTTTTGGAGACTGATGACACGGTTTCTCTGTCTTCTGGACTCGTGGAAGGATGGAGAAAACAACAGATCTTTGCCTTGGCAACCATTTACTACGCCCTTCATGGTTCCCTCTGTTCAACGTCGTTTGATGGATCAGAAGGATGTTTGAATCAGACAGATCCTTCCGTTCCTGGGTATGGGTCAGTATGCCTTTGTTGGGAGCGTTAGCAAGCAAATAAATCAGTGGTACCGGAATTCTGTAAGACTGCCAAGAACAATCCTCCCGTGGTTCGCAGAGCGGGTGGCAATTCGTTCGAAAAGAACAAAGCAACCACCATTGACGCCTTATACAGTGCAGCATTTGCAAATTTGTCCTGTGCAATTTATTGGAACACTATCAAGCAGAAAGACAACTACAATCGCAAAGCTTGGAAATCTGCAAGTCATCCGATGGGCTTACGAAAATGGCTTCTCCTGGGGTAAATGCGCCAATGGGCGAAAGCTCTCCCTCTTTCGAACGGTTTGTCATGAGGCAGCATCCCGTGGTCATTTGGACATTCTCAAATCTGCCCATGAGAACGGCTGTCCATTGGATAAGTCTGTTTGCAGTTCTGTGGCTCGAATTGACATTTGGATGTTTTGAAATGGCTTGGTGCACAAGGGTGCCCATGGGATTCAGCAACTTGTGACAGGGCAGGCCGGAGTGGTCACCTGGATGTCTTGAAATGGGCTCGCAAAAATGGCTGCCAGTGGGATGTAAGGGCATCTTATTCTGCTGCCATGAGAGGACATTTGGAACTGCTTAAATGAGCTCTCTAGAATGGGTGCAGAAACTGGACATCTAGATCTTCTGAAATATAAACATGAGATGGGCTGTCCATGGGATCAAGAGACATGCAGCCAAGCAGCAAGGAATGGACATCTGGATGTTCTGAAGTATGCCCATGAGAACGGATGTCCATGGAATGAATATACATTTACTCATGCTGCCTATTTTAGACAATTGAAAGTCCTGAAGTATGCTTATGAGAATGGATGTCCTTGGAGTGCAGAAATCACATGAAAATGGATGTCCTTGGAATGAGCAAGTTTCGTGGATGGCTGCAAGATTTGGGCATTTGGCCATCCTGAAATACATGTATGCACACCAGAATGGGTGTCCAACAAATGATAGTGTGTGTCTAGCTGCTGCCATGGCAGGACATCTGGAAGTAATCCAGTGGGCATGTGTGAACGGCATTTTATGGTGGACATCTCAGAGTACTGGAAGGGGCTCGAGAAAATGGCTGCCCGTGGAATGAAGAAACCTGTTTGAATGCTGCAAAGTGCCCTCATTTGAAAATACTGAAGTGGGCTCGCATGCACGGTTGTCCATGGGATATCCAGCCAGTTTTGAAACAGCTTTCTTGCAAATCGTGCCATGCGGAAATGGCTTCGCGAGAATGACTATCCATGTTTGAGCACAAATTGGCCAGTGAGGCTCCGTCGCAGTAACGTAATGCTTTGCAACAACTACATTAGTAACTAGCCTTATGGTCACTGACTAAACTACAGATTGCGCCGTCCCATATGTTGGCACGATCAAATTTCCAAGAAGCTCAGGACCGGTTCCTCGTACATGTAGCATCATGCGGCAACCTCAGCTGGGTAGCACAATAAAGCTATCGTCGAGGCCGCTGGGACCCCTGTGATATGACCTGTCCCCTTCGTCAGCATTCCCGTCTTGCATCCCAGCAACAAATTCTTCCATGTTCATTGGTTGTATCGGTGGTGGAGCTTCCCCGTCTTGCAAACCTGCAACAATTTCTCCCAGATTAATAGATTCTACCGGCAACTGTGGATCAGACTCATCGTCCACACCAGTGTCTTCTTTGACTTCCCAAAACGCGTCTGGGTGATATCCAGCAAACATAGCCATGAGTGCCTCATTGTATTGTGCGTGCAGGTTGTTGGCTGGAAGGTCATTTGGTGCGTTTTGGAAGGGGTTCTCCAGCTCCCGCGAGACTTCATGAAGCCCCTACAAGGGAGAAGTAAAGAGCTGAGCTTGACGTTGCAGTTGTGTCGTGTCAGTCCAACAATCACCCAGGAACTCACCGCAAAGCACATGACCGTCAAAAGATTGAGGAAAAATCCAAGCAGTTCACCCGTCACAAAAGAAAGCATGAGGATTGGAACGAAGGCAACAATGACCATGACAAAGAAACCAACAATCTGCGCATGTGGGAACGGAAATGGAATGTACGCAATTTTGCGCGCTTGATTGTAGCTGAGTAGCGAGAGCGAAAGCTTGTTAGCCAACGAACAGTCTGTTTAATTCTGCAGGCCGGCTCTTTGCCACTTACTTGAGACATCCGTCAGAGACATACTGAAAGAGTCGTGACATGATGGGAGGAGCAACCTTCCCCGTGCTCCCGGCCAGATGCTCTCTGGCGATGAACTCTTGAACCCACAAGCTGACCAGATTCACCTGGATGACAAGGACGTTATGAACGTGCATGAGCTTTATAGCCTTCTCAGCTGCGCACAGCAACGAGTTTGGTTGTTTCGTTCCGTTCCCTTACCTTGGCTTGTGGCCCCCTAGCAGCCTGCAAAAGCAAGATTTCATTGTCCGACACGCCACCAATGACACGAAACGGCCGTGCCGCATTGTACACACTCCGTGATTTCTCATTGCGAGACAACCCAAACAGATACCGCAGCGTCGGGAACCAAAACTCTTCATCTGGCGATACCCAATCTGTCCGAACATCCGCCGTGACGCCATCGGGGTCGACACATGGAAATGGCGCGCCTGTACACAAAATAAATGAACCAAAACGAGCAACCATACATGCATGAGGCGAACGTTGGGTATCCAAAAATCCCATTGGATACGCAGGTGTTGCATGCATCATCGTGCCGTACCTGGTGTAAAGGGTATCAGTGGACTTTCGGCATTTTCCAAGTCATTTCTCAAAGTGGACATGGCCACAGCGGACAATAGGGAGAGCAAATGGGCTCCCTCTTGGAGAAAAAGTGGTTTTTCATCAATGTTGACTCTGGCGGCACCTTCGTTGGCCACGGACACTGTCGATACAATTCTTCGATGTCCCTTCTTTGGTTGCTTCTTTTTCTTCTTCTTGCTGGTTTTGTGGGTCGGTGGTGCATTGATATTCTTTTTGGTGTGCTCAATTCGAAATTCTAGGGATGCCCGTGCATTGTTGGCGACTTGATGATGATGATGAGGTGTCGTCGATTGCTGCTGCTGCTGAGGTTTACTACTATTGCTCATGCTGTTGTTTCGTCGTCGACGCCGCCTCAGCCGCCACCAGCGTGAAAATCGACTTGTGCTCCCCGATGCCCTGGATGTACGAGCATCTTCGAGTTCCTTTTCTCTCATTTCGATTCGTTCGTCTACTTGATGTTCAATTTCTTGCATGGTGGGTTCGTGTCGTTTTCGTTCAATTTCGAGACTACTGAGATGTGGATTGGCTCCAAAGGAGGGTGGTTTGCTTCCGTCGTAGCGAGCAGCTTGTAAATGAAAGGCCGCCAAGTCAATGCCGACTTTGGATTATTAAAAGTTACGAAGGTTGTTGTTGGGGGAGAGAGAGAGAGACCAGTGAGAAACAGGATATGATGCAATGACGTGTTTGTTTATAAAACTGTCCTTACCATCTAGCCATTTGCTGTGCATGGCGTGTACAGCAGTGAAAGCTTCCCAGTACTGCAAAACGATTCAGGAAGAAAGCAAAGGTTAGCTCCATCCACCTGACATGTCACAATCAAAGAGGGTATGCTGTCTATCATCTATAAGTCAGTCCACTTACTCGGTTGTACGAAAAATTGGCCCTGCGATGGATAATGGAAAGATAATGACAAAATCAATCAGTCAAGTTGAGCATCCCTTCAAAAAATGTATGACATGAGGCTGAATGATGGACATACATACCGAAAGGATAGCAGAAAGGTAAAGGCAGCAATGAGAGCTCCCATGGGGTAAGGATGGTCCATGATCTGTCCATCATCTTCGTTCAATTCGGTGGTATGGAACAAGACTACGTAAATGATACTGGAAACCAAGCCAGGCATGAACGCCTTGAACACGGCAGATCCTACATTTATATCAAAGGGCAAATCAATCAAGGACCAGTTAACTGTGAGGCAGGCAAGAAAGGCATCATTTCAAATTAAAGGATACCCTACCGTACCTCGGATTCGAAAGAGAATCCGAAAGCCAAAGGCTCCCGATGGATACTTGATCATGGTGACAACAACAAACTCAACTCAAGGTAGATGATGGTGCAGTGGTATGATAGTGCAGGTAACGGAGGTACTGGAGGTGATGGAATCTAGATACCTCTGGAGAAAACTATGGGAGGTGCCTTTTACTTTACTTGTATCGAAGGATCAAGCTTGGCTCTCTAGCTAGACAGGCACCACCTCTAGCTAGCTAGCTAGATAGCTGTATGATAAAAGAGAGAAATGGAAGCTTCCATGCATGGATCCCATCAACAAAAAGACGCCAACCCCACCACCATGCAGCAGTGAAGTGAAACGCTTCCGCAACCCGCAACAAGACATCGGGAATGGTAAGCCGTTCCGAATGCCGTTGGGGATGCTTGAATTGTCTTTGTGTTCCTGTTGCTGACGTCGGTTAGGAAACCTTAGGAACACTGAGCAAATACTGCTGCACAACGAGGGATGTAATAAAACAGAGAATGTTTCCACTGTGGTCCAGTGAATACAGCAAATGTATCCTATTTATCTGTCATGGATGCTCCAGCTGGTGATTTGCCTCACCACAGCTCTCCCAACTCATTTCTTTGACATCCAAACTGTAGTGCACATCCCTCCATCCTTATGCTATGCTATGCTCACAGCTCACAACAACAATAATAATTAAGCATCATGATTGTCTACGAGAATAGTCTCTTTGGTTTCTCCCTGATCTTTCGAGTACATGGGTCGGCGCTCTGGAAGGCATGTGTTCCAGCGCTCTGTTCCACGGCGGGTATACTCATCTATCATGCTCTTTTCATCGATTGGGATGTCTTGCAACGAGGACAAGGCAGACACACGGGGCCCTTTGATCGTAAGTGAAGTCAAGTTTATGTGTTTGCTTGACTGGTTTCGACTAAACTTGCCTTCTCTTCCGTCATTCTTCTATGCTGCACCATCAGATCCTTATCCCATCACTTGCTATGTCGCCTTCTTTTCCTTCCTGTTGACATTTAGACTCAATTTTGCATATCAGAGGGTAAGCTTTCATCATCTTGTCAGGTACCAACCCAACACCATGCTACCCTTCTGTACCTTTGATTCTGCAACTCATTCATTAGTCTACCCTCTTCTTCTTCTTCACCTATATCATTTCTCTCTATTGATTCTACATGTAGTACTGGGAAGGAGCCACTGCCATTCATCAAATGCTCAGCAAATGGTTGGATGTCGCCACATACTGTGCTGCCTATCATTATCAATCACAGGTATACGACAAATATCGCCCGCCATCCTTTGGAGAACACGTCCATCTACGCAATCTGACACGGGAACGAGAACGAGCCCATCGTACGACCCTGAGCGAACACCTCGAGGAAGTACGAGCCAGTCTTCAAGAAAAACAAAAGCAACCGTGGTGGAAGAAGCTAGTGCCTCGCAAAAGGCGGCCCCCACCACCACCACCAATAGGAGGCAACAGCAGTGGCAGATCCACCAGTTCTCAGCAAGGCGGCAAGGTCATTTCGTCAGGAGGACGAGAGGGCGGTATTCAAGCACCTCGCAGGTTTCAAGAGCAATTTGCATTGCCCAACAATAGCAACCACGGCAACAATAATAGTCCAGGTCGTAACAATGCCATGTCAGCGTCGGGGGGACGCTACAGTCTCCGCAGAATTGCCAGTGTCAAGGGTGACATTCGCTCTGTCGATCCCATTCACATTCCCTACCCATCGCCCTTTCTACAAGAAACGGCACATTTGGTCAGTCTCTTGGCGGGAGTGGCATTGTCCACTTTGAGGAATGATATTGAAGGAGCGCAATCGCCCTTGGCCGAATACTTTCCAGGACAACCCTTGCCACCCGTCGATCCCGATGAATTGTCCAAGGCATTGCGCAAAAAGTTTGATTCGGGATCTCACACCGTCGCGGCCGTTTACTATTTACTGGGATTAACCCGCGACAATCGACATCGGACGCTCTACAATGCCGTACGACCCTTTCAAATACTGGGAGGAGTGTCGGATGCCGAAGTGGATAGGCTGCAAAGGGCACACGGACCGTACGCCAAGGTGGCATTGTGTTCCTTTTTTGTACAAGAGTTTGTGGCACGGGAGTATCTCACGGGGAGTACAGGTACGGCACGGCACATTCGCTGCGAATTACAGCGATCAGCAGCTGTAGCTTTGTCATTCGCTGACTCACTTTAATTCTCGTTCCATTTCAGGCAAGATTCCAGGGCCACTGATTAGCCGTATTACTCACGTTTTGTCGGACGGGATGTCAGGGTACAACCAGGCTCGCAAGCTGTGTAAGGATCTTTCTTTGTCTGTCTACTTCTGCCCAGTTTCATCATCCTTAGTGCTCACTATCCTCTCTTGCCTCTTTTCTTTTTTAGCCTACAACCCATTCCCGTTTCCTCACGCACAAATGACAGTCTTCTTTACCATTGCTGTCTTGTTCATCTTCCCACTCCTCTACTACTGCTTTGTGAATGACTTGGCGTTTGCTTGCCTCTTGAACTTTGTCACAGTCTTGTGCTTCCTAGGCATTCATGAGGTGGCCCGTGAACTGGAGAACCCGTTTCATAACGTCCCCAATGACATCCCACTGACCACTTTTCAGGCTCAATTCAACGAATCATTGATTACAATTTATTCGGGCTTTCATCCTGATTCATGGTGGGAAGTGGATAACAATAGCAGTAGCCCCAAGGTCGCTGTGCCTCCACCAACACCACCAGAAAAGGATAATGGTATTGCCACCACTGCGAAAGCCATTGCCACCACTGCGAAAGCCACAGTTGTTGCCTTCAAAGAAGACGTGCATCCATTGAAGCGATGAGGAACGCGAGACACCTACCGTACGATAAGTGACCCACAAGCTCATCGTTGCCTTTCATGCGTTACTTGTGGTCGCGCCATTCCGTGTCGACGACCCCAATGAGCTTCACTTGTCATTTGTATGGTATTCATGAAGTTCCACGGGAGCTGGAAACTTGGGCTTTCAGAACGCCCCAATGATTCTCCCTTGACCCCCTGTCGAGCACAAACAATGAAATTTCTGGCTTTCATCCGGATCCGTGGTGGAAAATAGATGGCACAAGCACTCCACCGGGAAGGAGAATGATATTGATAATGCAACAAAAATGCCACTTTTGTTAGCTTTGAAAGAAGACGTGCGTCCTCTGAAGCCACGAGGAACGTCATATACCGGTACCTAAGGTAGTTGACCTATAAGCTACATTCTAATAGTTGATTCTACAGGATAAACGTCTCCACTGCCTCAAGATAATCAGTCTCGACAGTAGTCCACCACGTCACTATCAACAACCTCCTCGAAATGTGATATGTTGTGGCATGGTTGTTGTTGTTGCATTGGATTCGATTCGTTTACTGATTGGATTTGAGGGATTTGATGACATCGTCGCAAGTAGTGGGAATGCTAAACATGCCGAAATCGTGCTCGAAGGCATTGTCATGGGCGGCCACCGCAGTGGCAGAGGACCCGTCCTTTAGCGTGTATACTTTGAAACCATGCTCATAAGCAGAACGCATCGAAGATTCCACACAGCAGTTGGTCAAAAAGCCACCAATGACAACGTTCGAAATCTTGCCATGTCTGTCGTGGAGCAAAAAAAGAATGCGCGGAGTAACGAGTCCCAACCATTTTAGTTCTTTGTCACATGCAATCTCCCTCCACATTTGTTTTTGCCAACAGTAGATAGAATTGAAACCCACGTACCTCAAAAGGAAATCCAGGTTGGTGGAATAAAAACTGCAGAGCCCAGTCTTTCCCTTGACAATCTTGTCTCCATCTTTGGGTTTCATGGTATCGCAGAACTCGGATCCCCACTCTCCAGCTGTAAAGGCTTCTCCTTCCTTGACTCCTGCCAAAATTCCGTACGGTTTGTCGGCAATCTCATTGTGTCCCTTTTCAAAGGCAATGGGTGCGTGGATAATGGTGCATCCTGCTTCTCGAGCGGCATCCATCAACTTTTTGGAATTCTCCAACATGTTGGTCTTTTCCATGCACTCCTTGACTGCTCCATGGAGCTGTAGATCGTAAAAACAATTAATAGAAGGCAAAAGAAAAATGTACCGGTATGTAAAGAGTGAGTGCACGAGTCGAAAAGGAAATCTGAATAGATCTTGACAGCTCGTCCATTTTCTCATTACCTTTCCTCCTTCGGTTGTGAATTCATTTTGGTATTCAATGAAGAGGAGAGCAGTTTCCTTGGGGTCGAGGGTGAAAGCTTCCGACATGGTTAGGTATGAAGAGAAGAAGAAGGTGGGTTCGTGGTTTTTTGAGGGTGGGTTCTTCGACCGAGTGAATGGCTGAATTGAATTGTGAGCTCTGACACCGGAGGGCCAAGAAAGATCAAACGATGAATGACTGGAAAGATCCATATCGTCACTTTTTAAGTCCTCCTTTTAAAATTGCGATTTAAAGGATTTGATTTGAGACTTAAAGCGCTACTTTAAGTCCGATTTAAGACGATGAATGACTGGAAAGATCCAAAGCGCGACTGGCTCGCCCGAGAAAGATCTTTCCACAGTCAGATATCAGCTCGACGCTGCTTGAATGCTCTTGCTATGTGGACACAGGACATCGGCAAACCAGTGTTCTTCTTCTGGACTACCATGCAGGCACCATACTAGTTCGTCAATCGGTACCAGGTACCGTTGAATCCATCCAAAGTGGTCGCCACCGTCAACCAATGGGAAAGAAAAGCAAACGAATCAGGGCTGGCCTACCACAACCGCCCCAAAGGAGCAGCTCAATTGCCTGGAATGCCCTGATAATGGCTGGATTGTGGAACTGGAAGATGCCCTTACGGGTTCCAAGGAAAACCCTAGCAGCAAGAAGTCTCTGAGGGTGGCCATGGCAGCATGCCAAGTTCGGCAATGGAACCGGTGTCTGGCAGCATCTGAGCAGGGGCTGACACAACTCCCATGTGATGATGATGATACTGAAACAAAAACGCAGTTGTTGCAGTATAGAAAGCGAGCAAATGATGAAATTGCTGGAGAGTCCCAGTCCTTGAAACACAGACAAGACATTAAAGATCTGCTGAAGTTAATTAAAAAGGCCCTTGTATGCTGCACGAGAAGAGGCTAGTTTCAAAAAGTACAGAATGTGCAAATGCACGACAAGTCATGACGACGACCAATCTGCAGATCAAGCGACAACCACAGAACCGAAACGAAAGCACTTTGGGACAGTCTTGTGCATGTGTCCATTGAGCAAATTCCAGTTGCAGAGTATGACACATTTGACAATCTGAACTTTCTGCAATACGCTGGTTTTATGGGTGATGTGCCTCTTCTAGAAGATCTAGTCGCCTTGGGAGCCGCTATTGATGCCCCAGTTTTGGAAAATGCCAATGACACTGCTTCAGATATTGGATCAGCCCCTGCAGGAACTACAGCCTTGTGCCTTCTTTGTGCCATGCTTGCTGTGGATGCTCAAACAATGAAGAATGCCACTACTGGTAGATCTGCCAAATTGAAGCAGGCGCTAAAAGGAAACCTGGAATGTGCCATAATTCTTGTCAAATGCGGAGCTGATTGTTCTCGCATACTTGGTGAGTCAGATCACCAGCCAAAATCCACAACAAGTGACCCGTTTCATTTGCTGCATCTCTACGGAAAATCAGCCCGGCAATTGGCAGAATTATCTAGGAAGAAAGATCTCATCCAGGCAATGAAAGAATTTGAGAATAAGGAGGACAAGATTGCCAAAGCATATTGTCGTTGTGGGAGTAGATTGCCATGGAAACAGTGCCACGAAGGAGACAAAGAAGTTCAAGCTCCAATCTACATGGATAGCAAAGATGATGGAACAAGCGTGTATTTTCGGTACTCACCTTTGGCATCATGTGTCTGCAAACGGGGGGAAACCTACTTCAACTGCTGCTGGTTTAGCTCTCCTGAGCCTCGATACAAGAATGATGCCAATGGTGGGCTGCTTGGAGTAAAAGCTGTGTATCATGAAGCAACCCTTCCGACCCTTCCAAGAATGATCAATCGAATGCACATAATACCTAAAGAGTTCGGCCTCAGAGTTGAACATTCGCTCCTTTTGCCACAGTTTGCTGGCATGACATCTGCTCAGATCCGTGAGATGACCGCAAAGGACATTCGATTAATGGGGTCGTCTTCACTTGCAGACCATGCAAACCCGAAGAGTAAGATTGGTACTTGGGCTCCAGATGTGTATGATGGCTGTATTGAACGCCTCGATAAACTCTTCTGGTGGAGTGACATCCATTGGGAAGTAAACGAAGGAGAATTGCTCAACAGGGTAGAAGAGTGGAATGGTGCTCTGGCTCAATATTGTGACGACAAAGGGCTTGAAGGAAATCAGCGCGAAGCCACAATTCGTCGTCATGCTGCCAGTCACTGTGCTCCATGCGCCAACCCGCAATGCACAGCATTTGAGTCCACAGTGAAGGAGTTTGGACGGTGCACACAGTGCAAGTCTGTGGCCTACTGCTCGACCCGTTGTCAAAAGAAGGCCTGGAAAGCGCATAAGAAGGAGTGCATCAAGATACTCACCTACTCTAAACCCCCGTCAATGCAAAATCAAGAAACTAGATAATGTTGGTTTTGTTTGGCGAGTGAGGAAGTGATAAAGGACGGTACCATCTGGCTGGTCTAGCATCATCGTCGTACATGTAATGATTTTCCTATCCATAGTAGATCTAGTAGATTTTATTATGTAACTAGTACCGGTACGGCCAACCAGGATCTACCTGCCACCGCTCATTGCTGTAGAATACGGGCAGTTGCCTTCCAGTTGCTCTAGCTGGATGGCGTCCGGCGAATCTTCGGAAAGTATTTGACGAAACTATAGCTTCCTCCGTTCCTGGTTCATGACTTGCTGTTCGTTGAGGGCACGATGAGGCCCTACTAGCCCAACCGTCACAGCTCTCTACCGGTACCGTAGGGTACAGTTGTGGCTGAGGCTTTCGACTATCTTGGGTGAAACGTTTCTACACAGCACAAAGGTACCGGTACGACTACGACTACTGCACGTGTAGAGCAGATTCTATTCTTCATTGGCTTGTTGCTTTATAATAATCTACCAGGCAGGATTATATGTACTTGCTTGCTTGTGGTATGATGGCCTTGGCAGCCAACCGAGACAAGCGCCTCTCAATCTTACATCTCGACGTAGAGCGGCTGCTCGTTTTCACGTCAATCGCCTTTGGTTGCCAAAATACGCTTGCGGGTTGCCAAAATTTTCTTGCGGGTAACAAAGACGGTGACAGTGTCCCCGTCTTTCATTCCTTCAGCACTCGGGGTGCTCGCCCAATCCAGCCGTTCGCCGTCAAACCTCAAACTAAACTTCTCCGAAGGAGATCGTCTGAAAGGCCCACCTCTACTCGTCAACACCTCAAACGGCTGATCCTCTCGAATGCAGACTACTAGCTGCTCCCGGTACGGGTCCCTACGTTTCCGATGATCAAAAAACGATTCAACCGTCAAAAAAATTTCTGTTGCTCGAGGCCCAGCATTGACCTTTTCCGTGTCATCGAAAAAGTCTACCAAATCCACCACTTCGTGTTGGTCAGTTCGACGTTTCTTCTTGTCACGAGGAGCCGCATCTTCCTCGTCACCAAAAGACCAGACTGCTGTGTCGTGATCGTCTCCAAAGATTGCCTGCAACAAGAGCTTCGTGTGTTTGACTCGATCGCCACGTGCAGCTACGTTCAACCCGCCATCGGGATTGTGCCCAATCAAGCGCCCACAATACTCATTACACGCCTTGACGTAATGTTTGACATCGAGGATGTGCTCGTGCCACACAATGTCGACCGAACCCGAAGGTGACACGATCGTTGCATCCCAATCCTTCGTGCGCTGCTTCAAAAAGATGAACTGTTTGTAGGCAGTGATTGCCTTTTCCGCCACGTCAGGTGTCATTTTACCATCACGAACGAGGCGATCCTTGAGTCCAACGGGGACCTCAAAGGTCTTGTCGCCGCCGCCGCCGTTCAACAAACTCGTCATGGTCGATCTACCGGTAATGTATCTAGTCTCGCGAGATGATGCCCGACAAAAAAAGTGAAAAATGACGGTTCACAATTTATGTGGCCGAACCCAAAACAAAACCAGCAGGCCTGGTAAAATGCTTCGCGTGGAGCTACGGGACCAAAGAGAGCTTTACTGAAGCAATCACCAGTGGACATTTGTTTGACAACAATCGGCAAATGCTACGTCAAAGGTTGTGTTGAAGGAGGAACCATATGGAAGTACATCTGGTCTACCAACAGCAGCAAATACAGTTCTGGTAAGCAGACTTTCTTATTGGAGTTGGTGCAGCAGGACCACTGTGTTGTAGACATGGCACAGTTGATCTTTGGATGCAACGATAAATCTGGAATCAGGCTTCTAGCTACACGGCTGTCTTGTGTGGCGGCTGCTTGCTAGCTCGCTAGATTTTGTTTTGCACTGCTGACTTCAGTGGCGCTAATTGTATTGTGGTTCCTGCACTGCTTTTCGTATTACGTTCTTGCGAAAGCAAGTAGCGTCTGAAATGGTTTATTGGTTTATTCAAATGGCACAAGCCTAAGGAAAGGAAGGATGATTGTCTTACTCTTTTGTTCACCATAGACTTTACTCGACTCGTCCAAAGCTGTGCAATATTGACAGTTGTTTTAATAAAATATTTTGTTCACGGCGGCGAATAATGCTCAGTATTCAGAGCAATAGTTGCTACCGAATTGGTTTGAGTTTGTTGACAAATGTGTAGCAACTAAAAATGACAAATAGTCGTCTGTACCAGACCCATTGCGATTGATGTGTGGACATGGCCTTCCAACTTTGGATGCAATCCACACTTTGAAAGACATGGGCCATCTGTTGGATATTATGTTTGTCATTGGTTGTCGCAGCTTGCTTGTCGTTCTCAGTATTTTGTGGTGGTAGAGTGGGAAATGGTGTAAAAGTGGGTTTCCAGAGCCCAATTAGATACAGGAGGAGTCGTATCCATGCAGCGACGGGCATGTATTTGATGGGCAACCAGTGAACAGTTTCCAATTGCCAAGCATCCAGTGGAGGTAATCTAAGTGGCATTTCCTTTGGAGCGTCTGTTTTGGTAGTGCCTGTCTTTTCGTCATGTTTTTGTGGCTGTTTTTGTTCTTGATAATACAAATTTCGGACTCCCAGATAGGTATCCCGATGATTGATGTGTCCACTGACTCCAAAGAAATCAAATGTAATGAGGACCAATCGTTGAATCGGTGGATTATTGTTATTATTATTCTTGTCACTGTGTTTCTTGACGGCAGCCAGCAAGGCTCGTTCGATTTCCCCTGTTACGGCATCCAACTCCCATGCGCATGTGGGATGATCTTTCAGCCGTTCGACTTGGACTTGGATCAATCGATGAATGCCCAGATATCGACAGACGTTCGAGAGCTCCTTTTTGCGGGTATCGCCCAATCCATCGTAATTGCCCGTTGTCAAACAGAGCAACCACACGGTTTCTCCGGCTGCAATCAAATTGGTCAATGTGGGCAAGAAAAACATGCTCTCGTCGTCGGGATGGGCAATCACCAAGACATGGACCACAGAAGGTGATGATGATGATGATGCTACCGACGCAGACGAATGATCGGTCAAAGGCTTTTTGGCAGTAGTCTGTTTGGAATCCGGCGGTGGGAAATCTTGTACGGAAATCACAAAGCACTTGGTACTGCGAACGACGCCATTGTTCTCGTCGTCTTGTTCAGCCGTCTTGGTCATCTCGTATTTTAAGTTGTTGTCTTCTTGCTTGTGCTCTTCCGTACTAGCTTGTAGTGGTCAGGTGGGGTGACAATGGCCATCTCAAGATTCAACGACTTTCTTGGGTGGCCAAGATGCCAAGATCCTCAAAGATCCAAACGGTGGGCCCGGCTCGCTGTTGACAAAGATCAGATCCCCGAATGATATCGCTGACACCCACCAAAAGGGCTCACAACAGCTCCAAAAGTAACTCAGATTGGATCTTTCCAACAGGAGACCATCTACAGGTATCGGTATCAAGGTTTTAGCATAGCCTTCCAAACTACCAATAAAAGTCATCGCCGCCACCATGGTTTCATCCCGCTTTCACATCATCCAGTTGCTAGCATTGACAGTGACAGTCTGTCGGGCCTTTTTGGCCCCCACCACCCCGGCCCGTTCTTCCGCTTTATTGTCCGCGGCGTTGGAATCGTTGGACCCCAAAGAAACTGCCGTCGTCTTGGTCGAATATCAAAATGAATTCTGCACTCCCGGAGGGAAACTACACGATGCCGTCAAGGAATCCATGGAACAGACCAACATGCTCGAAAATTCCAGCAAATTGCTACAAGACGCACGAGATACCGGATGTACCATTATTCATCTGCCCATTGCGTTTGAAAAGGTGAGATACTACACTTGGATATAATACCGGTACTGTAATTATTGATTGGTGGATGCGTACCGGTACGTACGCAGCATTCAATATCACAACAACTCATGCATGCAATCCACACTCATTTTTTAATACGGTAGGGACACAACGAGATTGCCGACACACCCTATGGAATATTAGCAGGAGTCAAAGAAGGAGAAGCATTTACACAGGGAGAATGGGGCGCCGATTTTGCCGCACCCATGAGGCCAGCTCCCATGGATAAAATTGCCAAGGGAAAATCAGGACTCTGTGGATTCTATTCCACCAATCTGGACTTTTTGCTACGACAAGGAGCCGTCAAGAACATTGTTCTGGGTGGCTTTCTCACCAATTGTTGTGTCGAATCCACCATGAGAACGGGATATGAACACGGTAAGAAGGAATGATAAAAAGGAGTGTTGGAGAATGGGTGATGAAACAACTCTTCTTGTTCTTTTTTTTAAAAATATCTCAAGCTCTCTCACAATTCCCCTTTGAATCTCATACAACCGACGTCAAGGATACAAGGTCTACACTTTGGAGGACTGTTGTGCGGCAACCAGCGTTGAGGCGCACAAGAATGCATTTGCCAATGACTTTGGCATGTTTTCCGTACCTACCAAGAGTACAGAAGTTATCAGTGCCTTGAAGGCTTCTTCTTCCGTCCAGGCATAGAAACCACACGACAACAAGCCCAAAAACTAGGTCGAATGTTTTACTACTACAGTAGGTTTTAGAGTACTAACCTACCTGATACGGTAGGTACCATACCAGGTAGTGGAAACTAGTGGCCTTGCCGGTTTTGCCAACTGAAGTATAAGAGCCAGCTACCGTTCGTACTGATAACTCCACGAAAAGGAAAAATGCAAGCTCCTGCCACCCGATACCAAATGCTACATTATGCCTCACTTTGGACCACCGCTACATGTAGCATAACAATGGCTTTTTCATTAATTAAATAGGGCACCCATTATCAATGGCCCACTGGAAGATTTCCCAAGGCTCTGCCGCACGTGCATCTAGGGCTGTTTGTTGGTCCCAAGGGCACCCATGCTCACGCGCCCATTTCAGGATATTCAAGTGGCCTTTCTTAGCAGCAAAAGCACAAGTGTCTTCATTCCATGGACATCCATTCTCATGGGCATACTTCAAAATTTCCAAATGCCCCCCCTCAGCAGCATGGCTGCATGTGTATTTGTCCCAAGGACAGCCATTCTCATGTGCATATTTCAGGCATTCCAAGTGACCACACATGGCTGCAGAGGCACATGTCCATTTGTCCCATTGACAGCCATTTTCATGGGCATACTTCAAAATTTCCAAATGCCCCCCCTCAGCAGCTGCCATGCATACGTCCTTGTCCCAAGGACATTCCTTCTCGTGTGCATGTTTAAGAATTTCCAAGTACCCACCTTGAGCAGCAGAGGCACAAGTCTGGCTGTCCCATGGACAGCCATTTTCATGGGCATACAAAATGATTTCCAGGTGGCCACCCCTTTCAGCGTTCGTACAGACTCCCTTATCCCATGGACAGCCATTCTCATGCGCGTGTTTTAGAACTTCCAAATACCCACCCTGAGCAGCAAAAACACAAGTGTCTTCATTCCATGGACATCCATTCTCATGGGCATATTTCAATACATCCAAATGACCTCCCGCAGCAGCATATTTACATGTCAAAGTAGTCCAAGGACATCCATGTTCATGAGCATACTTCAGGGCTTCCAAATGGCCACTCCGAGCAGCCTCATTGCATGTGCTTTGATTCCACTCACAGCCATGTTCATGAGCGTACTTCAGGACTTCCAAATGGCCTCTTTTGGCAGCATCAGCGCATGTGGATGCATCCCATGGGCATCCATTCTCGTGAAGCCATATCAATACACTCCGATGGCCATACTTGGCTGCAGCAGCACATGTCTGTCTGCTCCAGCTACATGTATATCCTTCTTCATGGGCCCATTGCATCACTTGCAGAGATCCCACTTTGGCAATTCTGTTGCACACTAATAGGGTCTTCTTGGAGCTTGGTTCATAGTTGTGCCAATATGCAGCACATGAGACATTGGAGAATGCTGCAGAGTAGAACTTATCTTTCCAGGTAGCTGAGCACTGCAGCCACCACGAAGGTTTGCCCTCTATGATGACAAGAGCAGGATTCTTTTCAGTGTCACAGTATTCTTCATAAAGCTGTTTCCATTGCTTGTTGACACTTCCAATAAAAGCAAACTGACCCATCCCCAGCAAGGGAATGATCTGACCAATCCATATCTCCTTCTGATCTACCAAAGACTGAAGATTGGTAGTGGTGGCAGGGGAAAGTTTCTGCTTCTTGTGAAGAGGCTCGGTGGACATGATGTAGCTGATGGTAAGCAGGTAACTTTTGCTCAAGTCTTCAAGTTGTTTTCTTTTGAGGCTTTGTTGCTGTCTTTAAAACTGCTTTTACTGCTACCTAAGAAAGCAAAATCTGAGCACGCCGTTTTGGTCTTTGGTCCTTCAGCGTGGCTTTGGAGTTTCCACGCCGCCTTGAGTCGCAGACTCGACTCGACCGAGCCTCGTGCCTTACGTGGCCCCATCACGGTGCCTAATACGGAACTAGTACTCTCTAGTATGCCATACCGGTAGAGCTGCCTTTTGTTTGTACCGTACTAGTAGTAGACGACATGCAGACTTTCTAACTGAACGAACCGTAGTCGCATATCTACAATCTCGCTCTAGAGTCTAACTATTACTGCAGTATGGTTTATTCTTACTATGCAGCCGGCTCTACATGGACGTGTCGGGCAGGAGCGACGGATCTACGCTTTGAATATTCTTGAGGAGTTCTTCCTGTACAATGTTGACCTTTTTCTTTCGTTCCGCGGCAAGTCTGGATGCTCGTTCCCCCAACAAGGTTTCCGATGTGTGCACCAACATGCGATACTCGCTTAGCAACTGTGGCAGATCCGACATGCGAATATCTTCCGGCCGCGACGTGAGGAACGTGTAGTTGCGTGAAAATCCGGGCGGCAACACGTCTTCGGCGCTATTGGACGATTGTCCCGATTCCATTTTTTCCGATTCGAGCTTGTCTTGCTGCCACGCCAATGCCCAGTCCAAATCGACCTGGTCGCCGTTGGCACGTGCCGTTCGGATTTCACTGGCAGGAATGTCGCAGTATTTGAGTGAAATATCGGTATCAATGGTGGGTCCCTGTAGTTGCGCTCGTTTGCGCTTGGTGTCGAGACGTTCCTTGAATTTGGCGCGGGATGCGGCCAATCCTTTTCGAAATTCGTCCGCGTCAATCGACAAGCTCTTTGGATTTTCCATATCCAAATCGAGTAGAAACTGTACAGCTCCAAATAGATTGGTACAGGCATATCCCGCTTCTCCTCTCAAATATTCCGGCGGACAAAAGAGTTCGACCATTCGTAGATTGGCATGGATACGAGCAGGTTTTGATTTCAATACGGTCAAGATGATTGTGGGGAGTACATCGTCAGCAGATGCCATTTTCTTTTCCTTTCCTGCGACCGTGGCGACATTCAATGCTTTGGACAATGCGGTATTGACCCCATGGTACATGGCCAATATACGTTGTAGTTTTTCGTAGGGTGAAAAGTAGAGATCCGCCGAGAGCAGTGCTTCCATGGGTTCCGCCAGTGCCTCTTTTAAATCCGTGTTGCTAGTTTCCAAGCAGGCAATATCCAAGTGTTGGGGCGTGACAAATTGCAATGCGGCCAATCGTTCCATCCATTCCTCTTCGGATTTGCGTGTTTCGTCCGTCCACAATTTGACTTGCAACAGCGAATGACACTGTCCGTAGACGAACGATTCGAGGGAATGTTTGAGTCGATCATTGACTCCCTCGTGTTTCCACGCGGCATGGGCCTTGATGGATTCAAAAGTGCCATTGAGGTAGGATTTCATGCGTTCGGCAATTTCTTCGAGACTGCGTGGTTCGTCGATACTGTCCATGTTGCGTACGGCGGTTCGCATGCCCTGTACGAGCGAAGCACATTCCGGGGTTTGTAGTTTGATCCAAAAGTCTCGATATCCCGTCAATACGAGGTTATTTTCCGACTTTGCAATTTCGGCTTCCAGCAATTGTTTGCCCGGTCGGACAAAACTATGAGGGGCTTCGTCGTCATCGAGAGAGCCAATCTGTAACATAAGTAACAAAAAGAACAAGAAAAGGGAGTATTAGTATAATTTTGTGAGATCCAAACAATAGTACAAGTGTGGTTGTCATTCTTTTTTGTGTTTTTTAGAACTTACCAACGTCTCAATTCGATTGGCGACATCTTCGGGCGACACTCGTTGATCTTCCATTCCGTACAAATGCGAGAGTGCCTTGGTCATGGACGGCATCAAGGCAGCGGCATGACAATTCTTGAGAAAGGACGCCAATCCTTTTTCTTGTACCCACGGATCATCGGGGGATTCCGCTTTCCGATACGGCAATGGCACTTGATGGATCCATTGCAGGCGATTCACGCGGGCTTCCAACAACAATTGTTCCTTGCGTTCCACCGACACGGCTTCGCCGGTACTACTATTACTACTGCTCGTTCGTGAGGATTTCTTATTGCCCGTCTTGGTCTTGGATTTGCTCTTGCTGCTGCTCTTTGGTTTTTTCTCCGCCTCCGAATCAGTGGGATCTTCCAAGAGATTCATAGTGTCGGCCATGACAATGGCCGACATGCGAGGTGATGGCTCCTCTTTGGCTGACGAATCGCCTTGGCTATCTACCTTGGGGGCTTCCTTAGTAGTACTTGTGCTAGACTCCATTGCCTTCTCCTGAACCACTCACACTGTCAATAATGGGACCACTATTACAGACTGCAACTATCTTGGCGATCAACGGAAGCCTTTTGATCCTGGTGCAGTGGTCGTCGTCGGAGTGCACGATTTGGTCGATCGTTGCTTCTTGGAAAGATTTGGTAAAAAGTATCTTTTCAAAATGGCATGATTTTCAAGAACAACCTTTCAATAAGAGGTTTTACAAACGTAAATGGGCAAAAAGAAGAAAACCGTGGGAGTTGAAAACGCGGAGGATCTCAGAAGCCATGCATGCATGCAGAGCAAGGAACATTCCTTGGTTTTGTGTTTCAGAGAAGGAACTCTCCCTCCGCTGGCGAAGTGAGCGGCTGCCCAATGCAACTCAACATGGACTCGCACATTAGTCTATCCTCAGAACCAAAACCATTACTATTGATCTCCCCAAAGAATTTCTTGGTTGGTTGTGCAGAAACAATGGGAAAGAAATCAAAGAGGCGCTCTGGTGGTGGAAAATCTGGAACAGCAACGCAGCGTCGTCACAAGGAATCTGCAGCTGGCAATAACGACCTGAAGCACTCGTGGAAAGGAAATCCTGCAGCAAACAAAGTCAGCAAAACTGGTGCCCTGGATGGCGTGAAACCAGAAGTCTATAAGGCACTTGTGGAATTCATGACAATGAAAGAAGAGACTCTGGAGTTCCATGCGTCAATGGCGGCTATCCTACAAGAAATGCGCAAGTTCTACAAGACAGTCAAAGCTGACAGCGGCGATCCGCAGGCTCAGAGACTCTGGAAAATCATCTGCACATATCCTGAAAAGAGAACAGACCCAGAAAGAGCTGCTATCGCCAGGGCCTTTGTGACATTCAAGAATGACGACAAAACTTGCAATGCAAGAATCTACTACTTCCATTACTATTTCAGGGAGATGCACACTAATGTGGAGGACTACGAGTATGGTGACCCCAAGCCAGTAACAGAAGAAGACAAGCGGTTCCTGCGTGGAATCATCAGATCTTCCGATGCCGAACCGGCATTCTTTGTGGCACATGCCATTTTTTTGCGCGCAACAATTGCTACGAAAACGGAAGGCGATGATGAACAAGCACTCCACTTTTTGAGCAAGGTGATTGAATACTGTGATAAAGCCAGTAATGAGGAAATGTCACAAAAGGTGGGCTTTCTGAATGAGAATCGTCCTACTTGGACTGCGGGGGATTACCTCATGGATATTCGAAGGCATGCTGAGCGCTGCTGGGAACGCTTCAGATTGCTAAACCAATGCAAAGGCATGACACGAGCTCCCGGTGAGCACTGTGACTTTTGCGGCAAGGACAGACAAGAAGTTGGCATCCCGAAGGTGTGCAGGCGCTGTCGCCTGACTTACTATTGTTCTCCTGAGTGCCAAAAGGACCATTCTCGGGAACACAAGAAATTGTGCCGTGTAAAGGGTGAATACCTCATTGGCGATTTCGTGGAGACTCTTGAACCTTTTGGGCCAGTAAAACTTGGAGGGGCTTGCCGCATTGTTGCTCATGCTCCGGATAGAAACCATTGGGTTGTGTCTGACGAATTGGGAGCCACCTGCATCATCTCTGAAGACAAGTTGCGTGTCTGCAGCTTGGCAGTACGGGGGTTTGTGCTAGTCAGGCAGGCAGCAGGGCGGTTCTATGAAAATGTTGAAGCAAATATTCCGGGTAGAGGACCCCGGTGATCTCTGACCAAGTCTTTTGTGGTGATGGTGGGTGTGGGTGGTCAAGTTGGTTAGGGTTGGTTTATTACACCGGATCAGGAAGACGTGAGTCCGGTCTCTCGTACTCTTTTTCTTCCAATGTCCCAATTATATCTAGCAACTATCGGATGGATTTCCATGTATCAGTAATAGCAACTAGCCAACTTGTTCACCTTGGGTAGTTGTTGTATAACGATCCTCTCGTTTTCAGTTGGTACTATTGTCCTCAGTTTGCCCCTGATCCATCCCACGGAACCTACATAGTCCTGAATTTGGTCTATTCTTTGCTTAATAAAAGCCTTCCATACATAATCTATATACACTATTGTTCTGATCACGGAAGTAAACTCGAGTGAGCTCTCGAGTGTCAATTGGCTCCCCGTGAAGCGCAACCCCAAAAAGTATGTACATGTACTAGCTAGCTACACGTAGTAGGTACTTGGTACCGGTACCGGTACCATCGGATTGATTTCATCTGCATGCTAGCATGTATCAGAATGCTACCGGTAGTAAATGACTGAATCGAATCGAATCGAATCATCGAATATGCAACTATGATACAGCTGGTATTACTGTAGAAATTAGCTCTGCCGGTAACCTTACGACAATTTCCGCCAGCCGAGCAAAACACAACCACAAAATTTGCGGCTGAAAAGCAAGAAGCCAAGAATCGAATCAAGACACAAACCAACGTTCGAAGGTTCAACGCGGACAAATCGACTTGACGAGGCAACGAACAAACGAAGGTTGTTCAACGCCGACACTTCCACTTGAAAGGAACCAAGCCAGGCTACTAGTTCTGGCATTTGTCCCACGTAAACAGCATAGCAGTACGTTACAAGAACCAATACAAGCAAGTGTGAGCGCCAGCTTTTTCTACTAGGCGGCTCAAATTCAAGTATCGTCGTATCGCCAGGCCGATCCAATCCCAACATGTCCAAGTCAGAAACCAATGCGGACACCATGTCCCCCGGGTTCCATATTTTTTGGCCCCGGTGCCCTGATTCTTCGAGCAGGTACAGTGGAACTCTTTCATCATCAAGGAAAGGCAGAAATAGCCGCCAACGAGTGAGTCGTTCATTCCATCTATCCAACAATCACGTGGAAGAAACTCAACCACCTTCCAAGCGCCTCAAGAAATCCCCAGCAGGTGATTTGATCTGTCCAATCAGTCGGGAATTGCCCTGGGATCCTGTGACAGCTGAGGATGGACGAGTCTATGAGCGTGAATGTATCGAGAAGCATATCAAGAACCATCCTCGGGACCTCAAGTCTCCAGTCACCAACCTAAAAATGGGCGAAAAGTTACTGCCAGCCATTCAGCACCGCAATACCATTGAGACGTTGGTGGAGTCTGGAGTCATTGATGGGGATTTGGCTGACAACTGGAATGAAAAGGTGGAACAGAAGAAGAAAATGGAAGAATTGCTGAAATGGGCAGGATCAGGCAATGGAAATGCAATGTTTTTGGCAGGAATCAAATATAGAGACGGTGAAGAGGGTTTCAAGAAAGACAAAAAGTTGGCCTTTCAGTGGTACAAGAAAGCTCAAGAGGCCGGGAATGTCAAAGGCAAAGCAATGGTGGGTTGGTGCTATCTAGATGGGGCAGGAGTGACCAAGCAACAATCACCTGGACTTTTCCACCTTACTGATGCAGCATCCCAAGGATCAGACTTTGCGGCCTATAAATTGGGAATAGCATTTGCCAAGGGAAAATATGGCTTGAATGTGGATAAAATGGAATCCATCCGTTGGTTGGAGAAGTCACTTCGATACTGTCGCCACAAACATCTGACTGCTGTTGCCAAGACTAAAGCTCAGCAGAAACTGGATGAACTGAAGGCCTCAGTGCCTGCAAGTTCTGCGACCTCCTGATCTTGTTTTCCTTCTTGAATTTGCAGACTACTTCTGGTGAGTGCACCTGTCATTGTGGAAGGATGGATGGAAGTTACTGTTTAGGAATTCCAGGAATGCATACAGGAGCAGATGATTTGTCTGATTCCTGGGTTGTTATTATTATTCTTTCCAGGCTGCAAGAGACTTTGGGCCTCGCCTCTTCAGTTTCTGTCTAAAAATGCAACGCCCTTGCAGATGACTACTGCATTCCCCAACGCAGTCATCCCTTGTTGCTTCCAACAAGTGAATGGATGACTTGTTGCTTGTTCTCACGTCAAACAAACAAAACCCTAGCTTGTTCCACTGTCTATTCTTCTAATACAATCAATCAATCAATCACTCCCATTCAATCCTCTTTGCCGCTCTTTGTAGTCGTTCCTTTGGACTGTTGTTGCTGTTGCTGTGTTTTCCCTCCCTGATACGAGCTTAGCAATGCCGCAATGACACTAATATTGGCCCAATAGTAGACCACCGAAGCGATCCATACCAGTCGATGCACGGCCCATCCTTGCATTTCCAAACAATAGGCCGATCCCAGCCATATCCCATACGACAGTGCCAGTCCTGCCAAACTCCATTGTAGTCGCGGGGTCGTGCCAAAGGAATCGCTGCAGAGTGGCAGCAAGCACAGATACCATGTCAGATATTGTGCCGTAATGACCTTGTTCTGCGTCACAAACAGATACGTCTGCACAAAGAGTGCCAAACCGAGATTGGTAGGCGCCAGTGCCAGACTGGTGTATACCAAGAGGACCAGTTGTGGCAACAAGAGCAACTTGCCAATGACGGCCATGTTTTGTGCAAAATCCGGTCGTGCTCGCCCGAGGTAGATCCAGTACCAATGCATGGAATAATTGTGTCGATGATCGACGCGGGATAAATGGTACAAGAGTCCTTCTTCCAGGGAAATGGGTCCGTACCATTCGTATGCCAGGTACGTGAGTCCCACAAACGTGAGCATAAAAGTGATGAAAAAGACGATTGGAGCCGGTGTCAACAATCGTTTGGCCCATGATAGAAAGAAGGAAACCAGTCGATACAAGATGGTTGCGGTATTGTCCAACACTGCTGTAGTAGAAGAATCTCGTATTATGGGCGGAGCAGCAAAGTAGGTCATGAAGGAGAGAGAATAAATGATGGGGTAGAGTTTGGAATGGACGGCCACACCGTGACAAACTCCCGCGGGGATTGCCAGTAGCCACGACTTTTGTTGTTGTTGTTGCTGGCTGCTAATACTATTGCTGTCCAATGTGACAATGGAAACAGTGACCAGTACTGGCAATAGGACCTGAAAACTCTCGGAAGATCCTCTCGTACAAATATTAATGGCCAGTGGATTGTAGAGCCACCAAAGGGCATCTTGCAGTCGTGGAGAAAGCATCCTGTTGGATACTGCTGCTGCTGATTGTTGTTCTTGTATTCTTGAATGCTGTTGGTGTTGTTGCCGTTCTTCACGTTTTTGCTGTCGATATCTTAGAATGATCCAACCACATAAGGCATCGGCGACACAAAACAGAAACCGACTAAGGATGTCATGATGTGGCAGTTGTGCCAATAGGGATGCCAAAAAGGGAGTATAGCGATACGTGTGCCGATCATAGGGAGAATTTCCTTGTCGAACATGATTGGCGGCATCCACAAAGATGTGATAATCAATATCCGTGTACGCAACGCCCGGGACCACCCCATGGGTATCAAACAGAAAGGGTAGCAGCCATGCCAAGAACAGCCGTAGAAAAAGACCAATGGCAACGGGATACTGTTCCAACAACAGTGTCATCATGGTGGAATTGATTGATGGACAGGATGCTATGATGGTTGTGACGATGCTTGTGTCTAGCTACTAGTACCTGCAGTGCAAAGGAAAGATGTTCTGGGTGATGGGAGGCTCGAGTGATCGAGTGATGGGGTGATGCATGGTCGCAGCTCGCAGATTGAAACCAAAAGCGGCAAATGCCAATGAGGGTTAGAGATAAAGCAAAGAACCCTTCTGGGCATGGCCGGCTCTGGATCTTTCCACTTTGAAGAAGATATCATGGCGAACCGTTGCACCGTGTGTGCATGCATACCGGTCCCGATGGGCGAAACTTCGCCGTGTGGCATTGCTTCCTTTTCGTGCATTATTTGGGAGAAGACAAGGAGCAAGGAGGATACTTCTAAAAGATACCAGACAAAACAACAACAAAAGCATTGTGAGCGCAGGAAGTCAAGGATAGAAGTAGAAAGAAGGAACAGCTACCACCATGAGCTCTCCACTTTTCATACCGCTCAAGTTTTTCTTGATCGCTTTGGATTTTTTCGTAAGTGGGTATCCAGATCGGTTGTCTTATGGGATGGATCGGATCGTGCTGTTTTCTCAATATCTTCTCTTTTTGTTTTTTAATTCTGAATACATATATATTATAGATCACCATTATCACCTTTGGATGGCTCGGTATTATCCAGAGAGCCACGGCCGATCCAGGATTGCGCACAGTCCCTGTGGGAGATGACGAATCGCACCGCGTCCAGCCAGCGTACAAGAACAACCTCACCACCACCCCCGTTCCTGGTGCCGGAACGCTCTATGATTTGGCCAAGATGGGATTTGAAAAGTACGCCGACAAGAAATGCATGGGATACCGTGAATTCGTGGGCTGGAAAACCCCCAAAGTCAAGGAATTTGGAGACACGTACTGGAAAACCTTTGGAGAAGTGGGAATCGTATCGGCCAAATTTGGAGCGGCGCTTCGTGGCGCTGGACTGGAAGCGGCACCTCCGACTACCAATTTGGAACAAGTCACTACCAAATCGCGTTTGGCCATTTTTGAAAATACATGTCCCGAATGGATGATTGCCGCCTTGGGAGCTTTTGGTCAGTCCATTACAGTGGCCACAATCTACGCGACTCTGGGAATGGATGCCGTCGAACATGCCGTCAATGACAATATCATTTCCGTCATTGTCTGCAACAAGCGAAATGTCGAAGCTCTCATCAAGCGCAAGGACAATATGCCCACTCTAAAGACCATTGTCTACACCAATGATTTGATTGCCAAGTCGGAAACTGTGGATCTTCCTGCCACTCCAGATGGAATGACTATCGTGTCGTTTGAAGACTTTTGTGCTGGTGGTGACACGGAAAAATTCCCTCCTACTCCTCCAGAACCCGATACCACGGCTGTCATGTGAGTGATAATTTTACTTTTTTGTTTTGTCTCATGTGTCATGCTGCTCACCCAAATATTTCTTCTTGCTTTCTTCTTTTTTAAAGCATGTACACATCAGGTAAGCAAAATTATGGCACGCTGATCCTAATCATTTTACACTCTTTCTTTCTCATGCATTTTACACTCTCTTGTGGCACTATAGGTAGCACTGGAAAGCCCAAGGGTGTTGTCATTACCCACAGGTGCATTGTGGGTGCTTGCGCTGCTGGTGACATTGAGTTGGGAATTCGAAAGGGCGAGGTATGACAGAATGGATCTGCGACCTGACTGACGGTGCCTTGTTGGATGGTTAAAAAGTTACTCACATCTCTCACTCGCCATCATTCCAGGACGTTTATCTGGGATACCTTCCTTTGGCTCACATTATGGAGTTGATGGCAGAATTTGTCATGGTCTCGCAGGGAGTTCTCATTTGCTATGCCGACCCCAAGAGTCTTTCGGCTACTGGTGCTTTCCCAACGGGAGCCCTGGAACACTTTGCCCCTACCATCATGGTTGCCGTGCCGAAAATTTGGGATACCATCAAGAAGGGCTTGCAAGCCAAGGTCGCGGCATCTCCTCCCGTGGCTCAATTCCTCGTCAACACTGCGTTCGAAGCCAAGACTTATGCCGACACTTACGGATATGACACTCCCCTTTTCAATGCGCTCGTGTTCAAGAAATTCAAAAAGGCCATTGGTGGGAACCTTCGTTTTGCCATTTCCGGTGGAGGGCCTTTGAATGGAGAAGTGCAGGATTTCATTCGTCGTGCGTTTGGGTTCCCTCTTTGCCAAGGGTATGGCTTGACCGAGACTGTTGCCGGGTTGACCTTTCAAGCGCGCGATGATTTCAGGCACGGCATTGCGGGAGTCTGTATTCCCAGTGCCGAAGCCAAGCTTGTTTCAACACCAGATATCTGCGACAAGGCAGGACAGCCTTACTTGAGCACGGATCGCACGGATGTGGAAGGTGAAAAAGTCTGGGGACGCGGAGAGATTTGCACCAAGGGAGTGAATGTCAGCAGTGGATACTACATGAACGAAGAAGCCACCAAGGAAGCCTTTGATGATGATGGTTGGTTTCACACTGGTGATATTGGTCAATTCATGGCAGACGGAAGTATCAAGATTGTGGACCGCAAGAAGAATCTCGTCAAGTTGAAGGGTGGAGAATACATTGCGCTGGAAAAGATGGAGATGGTCTTTGGAAACTCGGACTTTGTGGATGCCGTTGGTGGTGGCATTTGTGTCTACGGTGACGGAGACATGGATCGCCCGGTTGCCTTGATGCAGCTCAAAATGGAGCACACTATGATTTGGGCCAAGAAGAACGGCATTGAAGGGGACTTTGAGACTCTTTTGAAGGATCCCAAGGTTTATGAAGCTGTGATGAAGGACATGAAAGAACAGCATGCAAAGAGTGACTTGTCTCATCTCGAAAAGCTTGTTGCTGTCCAGCTATTGAATAGTCCCTGGACACCTGAAAATGGTTGCTTGACTGCTGCCAACAAGTTGCAGCGCAAGGCTGTGATCCAGTCTTTTGAGAATGAGTTCAACGACCTCAAGCCCAAGGGTATCTTTTAATAAGCTTCGTGGCAAAAGAGACTGTGGAATTTCTATGATCTCTGCCATCGGAAGAAACAGGATGCTATCACTAATCCAGCAATGTCTTGCATGCGCTGCCAGTATACCGGTAGTACGGTATGTGAAAACTGAGTAGAGAGTGCGTGTGCTCGGAAAGATCTCCATTAATTTTATTATGTAATCGAGTCAAATCGAATCGAATCTTTCCGTCGTCGTCGCTACCGTACAGGTTGCTTGCGCTACGGGTAGTCCAGCTAGTTGCTTGATCCTGGGTCACCTTGGAATGCCCTTGTACCGAATGATCATCAATCGGCTCCGCTGGAAACTGAACCGAAGTCCTTTGCCGGCGTCAGGTCAAAGATCAAAGCAGGGGGAGGACATTGTGCTGCGCTATTGAAACCGCGAATGCTTTTCCCACAAAGTTGCAAATGGTAGGCCTTCGATTTTGATTCTTCTCCAAGCAGAGGAAACCACCATCACCTAGCTAACTTTGGTGGGCCGAGTGGCCGCCGCGACGCTTAGTACGCTCATTCGTAGACAACTGCCTTTGGTGTCTTGGCAGACTGCCGGTAGGTCAACGCTTGTCCCGCCACCGATCTAGAGCTTCTCCTCAAAAGCTGTTCAGTTTCTTGAGAGCAGAGAGCAAGCTTCTGATCGAATTGCTTCAATGAGCGTCTCTCCTTCCTGGAGACCAAGCACTTCTCTGAGTTCATCAGTATTCATGGTTGCTTCACCAGAGAACTAGTAAAATGTTGTCCACCCCGCCGTATTGTTTCAGCTTTGGTTTTGTATCGTTTCAGCCAGTGTTTGGTCCACGCAGTGCAACAGTGGTGGAGCGACAAGTCTCCACGGTGGCTGAAGCGTGGGCCAGTAGGGTTAGCACCGTCGCTGACGTCACTGTTCTGACCAACAAAAATCTTCGCGGTGGCCTCCAACAAACCCGACATTGGTGGGTCCAACACAATCGCTGCCAATCTGCTCGCCTTCTAAGCTCTGCTGCTGGTCTGGTACACTGTAGAGCTTCTGGTAGCGTCATTTGCTTCCACATTTATTAAAGACGCAAACGCGGCAGTTTATTTTATCGAAATCGAGGACGTAACCATGGCCGATACGGGTAACAAGAAGCAAAAGCTGGTTCACACGAGCGGTGCTCCCATCTATATGGAAACTTCTTCGGCTCCCACAAATATTGCCACAATTAAATACTGGGGTAAAGCAGATGCCAAGTGGAATACTCCCATTAATGACTCTGTCAGTGTTACTTTGAATCAGGATGATCTCAAAGCTGTCACTACAGTTGCTGCTTCCACTGCCTTTGAAAACGATCGTTTGTGGCTGAATGGTGAAGAAGAGGAAGGAGCTGCCGACAACAAACGTTTTCGGGCTTGTGTCGATGGAGTGCGGGCATTGGCTACAGAAAAGAAGGATGATGATGGCAAAGTCTTGGTGACCAAGGAGGATTGGAGCAAGATGAAGATTCATGTTTCTAGCTACAACACCTTCCCCACGGCAGCTGGATTGGCCAGCAGTGCTGCTGGATATGCTGCGTTGGTGGCTGCTCTTGCTCTTTTGTTTGGTGCCAAAGAGGAATTTCCTGGACAACTAACAAGTATTGCTCGTCAAGGAAGTGGATCGGCTTGTCGTTCTCTTAGTGGAGGATTTGTTGCATGGAGAAAAGGTGGTAAGAAAGAGGATTGGTCAGACAGCCTTGCAGAACAGGTTGCCGATGAAAATCATTGGCCAGAAATTCGGGCTGTCATTATGGTTGTCTCGGATGCCAAGAAGGACACCTCATCTACTGCCGGTATGAGTACGAGTGTGGAAACTTCCTTGTTGTTGAAGCACAGGGCGGATACAGTTGTGAGCCAGCGCATGGAGGCCATTGAAAAGGCATTTTTGGCGAAAGATTTTGAAACCTTTGGTCAGCTCACCATGGCTGATTCCAACCAGTTTCATGCTACTTGTTTGGACACATATCCTCCCATTTTCTATATGAATGACGTCTCCAAGAGCATCATCCGAATCATTCATGTATACAACAAGTGGGCTGGGAAAATTCAAGCAGCCTACACTTTTGATGCTGGTCCCAATGCTGTCATCTTTACCCTGGAGGAACATGCCGTTGAAGTTGGAGCCCTCATGCTGCACTACTATCCAGAATTTGGTGACAAATATGTGAATAATCCTGATTTTGAAAAGAAGATTAAGGATTTCAAGTTGGACAAGGATCTTTTGGAGGCTACAGACAAGACTGGCAGAGAACCCAAGTCAGGTGAGGTCAAGATGATGTACTACACCAGTAGTGGTCCTGGTCCACAGAGATTGACAGATACTATCCTCAATCTTGATCCCACCACTGGACTCAACACCTACAAAAAGTGAAGCTGCTGATGAGCATGAACAACGAAAATGCTGAACGAACGCTAGCTACCGGTATAGTCACCACGGTTCGAATTAATTTCTCTCAGAGATGCACATTTAAATATCTGTTGGCCAACTATCTTTGTTAGGTCATTGTCTATTTTTGGTTAGCACCGTCGTCGTCGGCTACTTCGATCGGTCTCACGCCAAAGTGCTTTCGTGGTTTGAAGAGACGTGGGAGTTGATTGGATTCCAGGAAAGTGACGTCAGTCGTTGACTCAGCTTTTCAAAAGATCTTCTCTGAAAAGGTGGACCATGGCGCCCACTTCCTTGCCATACCGTACCACTTCGATAGCAGATTCTCCCGCAGTTACGTTCAGCAGGACCAGCAGCCACTTCATTAACTTTTATTTCGAAGAGCTCCAACGGCAGCAACCATGAGATTGTCTTTAGCCATCAGCACGGGCATTGCAACTCTGCTTTGCACCCATGTCATCACAGCCTTTGCTCCCCAATTAACCACGGGCACCAACACAAGAGCCAGTAGTGCATCAAAAATGTCGGCACAATCAGAACAATGTACACGAAGACAGTCTTTGGAACAGGCAGGACTCATCGCTGTGGGCAGTTTCTTTGCCAATGCTTCTCCGGCTGCAGCCAAACAATCTTCGCAAGAAGCCGCGTTGGAGGTGGATAAACAAAAGTTGGTGGCAGGATACAATAGACTCAACTATCTGCTGGATAATTGGGAAAAAGAGACTACAAACTGCAAAACAAAGACACAATATTCCTCGGCGTCGAATCCGTGCGAGCGAACTCCCTTGAGAGTACAGATCTATTTGGGATATACCTCAACAGAAGATCCACTTTTCCGCGCGGACAAGACCATGAGACGTCTGGAGGTGCTGGTTCCTGCTGGAAGTGAAGTCGAATACCTAGATGCCATGGAGAAATACAATGAAAAGGCAGAAGAAGGTGAGTGCTCGATTACCGAAACTGGCACAGATCTTTCACATGGCCAACCATATATCTGTGCAAAGGTTTGACTGATTCGCTCACACTAACCACACTTTACCCACTGTCTTCTTCTTTACATTTTGGATCCATTTCAGGAAGCGGCAATGCTTATACAAGCAGTTGGGGTGAAGCCAACCCGGGTGGCGGGAAAGACAGAATCGAATATTTTGTGGAGCGGGCCAAGTCCAACGTCGTCGACGCAAGAGATGCCCTGGGTGTTGTGGTGAAAATCCTTGGGTTGGTTTAATTAAACTCCCATGCAATTTGCACCTGTAGACTTGAGAGAGACAGTGGAATCCCTCAAGCCTTCGGGCATAAAACGCAGCTAGACAATCAGCAACAGAGTAGATACAGAAAGTTAAACATTAGCTACAGTATGTATTGACCAATTTATTTCTTTGAAGGTTTCTTCTTCGATGAGCCGTTGACATCCGAAGAAGCACCATTCTTCATGGAGCTGTCATCTAAACCGTTTGTTTGTTCATTATTTGTTTCAGATGATGACCAGCTGTCGCCCTCGGTACCTTCCGTTGTGAGTCGAACAAGAAGAGACCGAGACGTGTTCACGGCAAAGTATGCTGCGGCAAGGGCGAGACGAGAGATTTTTTGTTGAAAGTTTTCGTTGATCTTGAATTCCGAGTACTCGGCCGTCTCGTAGAGCTGCAATAGATTCTGTCTCTGCTCCGTGAAGCAACTCGGGAAGAAGTCTGGAAAGAATCTTTGAATGGCACCGAACACGAGCACATGACCGATTGGTGAAAGTGGGATCAGCAAAATGATGATGAAGGGGATAAACGTGAAGAAATCCTTGATGGTTCGGCTGCGTGGTGCGGCAATGCAATGAGTCAGTTAGTCAACCGAGATATACATAGTCGAGCCAAGATACAGAGCGTTGCCTCGCCATCCCGAGCCAAAACGTACCGTAGGTTTCGAACCTCGCGTGGTTTCAAAGTGTACCCCTGAGCCGCACGGCTTAGTAGGAACCCAAAGAACACCAGATCGTTCCAAAACAATTGGCACCCGCGACCGTAAAACGCCAATCCGTTCTTTGTTTGTAGGAGCAAATCTCCAAGGAACATCCGGATGGCCTCTGCATCAAACGTGATTCCCGTCACGTAAAAGTCAATACCGAGACGTCGCTTCATGTCGGTGACTTGGTCCCTGACCACCATTAGGACATCGGCGTCAATGCTCAGTCCAGCTTCAATGTCGCGAGTAAAGCTATCCAACTGCGATTCCAATAGACCCAACTCTGCAACATTGAGTCGATCCTGCAACGGAACGTATCCCTGCGTGGCTGGATTTCCCACCTCTCCCACAAGATACGTGTAGATACGCTCTGTTTCGTACACCAGGGTATTGTATGCCACTTCTTGCTTTTTCATGTCTAGCAAGTCCGCCGACTCTCGGATCTGACTCCTCAATGCTGGTTCCAACGAGGCCAAATTAACATTGGCAACGGCTTGTCCCTCGCTCAGAGCTAGAATATTGCGGTTGGTTAGTGACCCACATCATAAAGTCAGTACATTTTTTTGCAGCAGTCATAAACACCAATCCAATCCACTCGACTCGACGTACCCGTTCTCAAGAGTTTGGTGTGCGCCACCTCCATACTCCTTAGATCCGTCTCGGAACTCGTTAGCGTCGTTCTCGCTTCTCGAATCTGCGGTGTGTCTTCAATTTTGGCCGTGACGGCCTTTTCCGGTCCATGATGGCCGCCACTCGCGTTGGTGTCGTCGTCTTCGTCGTCTGTGACGGTTTGAGGATCTCGTCCATTGATACGAGCCCAGACGGCCGTTCCAAATTTTTGCAATGCCGCTCGGTCCTGCAAGGCTCCATCCCAATCGACCGTCCCGTCGTCGCGCACGTATAGTTTGGGTCCCGATGCCTGAGTGACATTTTCTTCCTTTTGGATTTGAATCGAAGGTAGATTGATTATAAAGGGCAAGTCGATCGAGTCTTCCTCCTTTTCCAGTGTCAACTTGTATCCTCGCACGACATTAACGAGCTGGGCTCTAGTGTTGACTATTTTTCTGTGTTTGTATTCCAAAAAATTATAAGAGAAAGAATGATGAAGAGCAGAGGAGGCACAAAAGCACGGGTCAGATGTTCTGGATTTTTTGTTGAAATAGACAGAGCAAATTATCTCTCCACAGTTTATAAGAACAACATCAAACGTCAACTCACTGGAATAATTCTTGTCGTTCGTCATTATTATACACTGTGGTTCCCATTCCAATTCCAGGTTCTAGCTGACATACCACCAAGGAATTGTCATTATCATCAATCCCACAGCCCAAATCACGCAACCGTTTGTTGAGTTGTGCCAACAATTTGTCGTAGTCGACGGCCCGTCGTCGTTTCCGACTCGACGACGTCATTTCCTGCTGATCTACGGAACAGGCAAATTCAGCAGCCGTCAAATCTTCTACCGTTTCTCGAATCCACATCATGTCCTTGAGTTTTCGGAATTTGGATCCTCGTACTCCGTCTTCATGAGGTGCCGGGGGTGTGAATCGAGGTCTGCTGCTGCTGCTACCGGTAGTAGTGGTCGTATCCGCCTCTTCTTTTTTCGATGCCGATTGTCGTATCTTTTTGGTTTTCTTTTCCTGGCGTGGCGTATCTCGTCGAGGCACCGCCACGTGGAGGGACGATCGTCTCCGTTGTCGGGGGGGTTGCTCTGAGCTTGCAGTGAAGGAAAACGATCTCACTTGCAGCTCCAACTGTCTTCTTTGCGATGGTAGCACAAAACCGTCCACTGCAAGAACTGCCAGACTTAGTAGAAGCACTGTGGCCGCCCCCACGGGACGAAATCTGTGTCGTTGCATGGTAGCCGTTGGTTCTGGCTCGATACCCTGTTTTGCAAGAATGCTCTCGCTTTAGTAACTCTCCACAAACTGGACGTCTCTTTGTCTCTGTGGTTGCCTCTAATAGACTAGCTACTGGTACTAGATAGTTTGCCAGCAACTAAGTATTGTACCGGTACCCACAGAAGTTGCAAAGGATACGAATGGTTTCAACCAGAGTGGTTGTTCTGCGAAAAAGAATGGTGACAGGCACCACTGCCACCTCCATCAATGTTGAAGTTTGGCGACAATTATTAATTGTAGTCACCAATCAAACGGGAACGGAAACTCCAACCAAAAACCAAAAACACCTTGACAGCTGGCAGCAGAAGGAGGTTTGCGTGACGTCAACTTGCATTCCAGCGAAGCGGGTAGGACAGCCACGATGCGCCAACGAGGCCCAATCTCCGCATGCCTTGAACCCCTGCTATACAGTGGGTACGCTAGCTAGCCTGCTTCTGAAACCAAAGCTGACAAGCAACCTAGAGCTAGTAACTAAGCACGAGCGGAGAACGCAATTGCATGTAGAGATTGTAGCAATACCTTTCTACTCTCTCTGTACTGGTACTGGCGTGATACCGGTATGCAAGACTAGATCTATTCTGGACTCTGGAACCTTGGACTCTAGCTAGCTTAGAGATAGATACCTGCAGGACATCCACTGGTCATTCCGGGCAGCCATTCTCTATCACCCACTTCAAGACTTCCCAGTGCCGCCCAGTGCGTGCACCACTGACAGTATGATAATCCCAAGGACAGCCACCTGCTCGGGCATACTTCAGGATTTCTAGGTGGCCATTCTCAGCAGCACCACAACATGTCATTTCATTCCATGGGCAGCCATTTTGATGGGCCCATTTGAGGACAGCAAAATGCCCACTTTTTGCAGCCCTGGCACATGTCCAGGCATCCCATTGACAACCATTCTCATGAGCATATCTCAAAACATCCAAATGACCTCTTAGAGCAGCATACTCACACGTCAATTCGCCCCATGGGCAGCCATTTTCATGTGCATACTGGAGCACATCCAAATGCCCATTTTCTGCAGCACCGTAGCATGTGTCTTCATCCCATTGACAACCATTCTCATGAGCAATGGCTGGGCTGCATGTTGATTCATCCCAGGGGCATCCATTTTCATGGGCATACCTGAGACAGTCCAAATGCCCACTTTCTGCAGCACCGTAGCATGTGTCTTCATTCCATTGACAACCATTCTCATGAGCATATTTTAGGATATTCAAATGTCCACCTCTTGCTGCAACCTCACATGTGTTGCTATCCCATGGACAGCCATTTTCATGCGCCCATTTTAGGAGCTCCAAATGGCCACCTTTGGCGGCATTGGCACATGCCCGTGTATTCCAAGGACACCCTTTCTCCCTTAGCCATTTCAATACATGCAGGTGTCCACCATTGGCAGCATTTACACATGCAAAAATGCTCAATGGGTATCCTTTTCCATGTGCCCATCGAATGACTGTCAACGAACCAACTTTGGCAATCACTTTGAACACATCCCCGTGGTTTGGTGACTTCTTTGTTGAGCAATTATAGTCGTACCAGTATTCTGCACATGACACATTGTAGAATGCTGCAGAGTAATATGTATCTTTGCAAGTTGCTGGGTGTGTCCCATCGAAACGATATTCTCCCTTCAAGACGAGAGGAGGATTTTCGACAGTCTTACAGTATTCTTGATAGAGCCGTTTCCACTGCTTGTTGACACTGCCCACAAAGGCAAACTGTCCCATTCCCAGACAAGGAAGGATCTGGCCAATCCAAACCCCCTTTGCATCTACGAGCGACTGAAGATTGGTAGAGCTGGTCTTACCGGATACCGCGCTGCGAGCAGAGGACCACTTCTGCTGCTTTTGGGGAGGTTCATTGGTAGACATCGCTGCGATTATTTTAAAAATGTATGCGAGGTAGAGAGAATAGTACAAGTATGAGAGACAAGCAGACAAGCAGTTAGGGTGGTCAATGGCTGATGGTTGGTGGCTGTGTGGGTTTTCGTTGCTGCAAACTATCGGCTGGCTTCCGTAGATAATTTCCCTACTCTAAAACCCCCCTTAATCTCGGTAGACTACTAGTACTCGATCTGTTCGAACGTGGTACCGGTCGGTAGGATAGACAAGTACTGGTACAGATGGTACTGTACAGATCTGTCGAGCCTGTCGGTCTGTGAGCGTGGTGGTGAAAACAGAGGCAGGTTTAGTTTAACCCTAAATAAACGCTAAATATAGTTTAGTTGACACAACAGCATACATGTCGGCATGTTGACCACCACTTCTTCCCCTCATCATTTTGACTTGTCGAAGAATGAAGGCATTGAGGTCCTGGAGTTTGCACCTTCTACTGTTGCTTTTTAGAAGCTGCGTCAGTGCGTGGCTTTCATTGAACGATTGTGGGAGAGTTGGAAGTATTCGTCAACGTACTTTCTCAGACGACAATGGCCGATTCCAATCTACCACAAACTCTGATATTGACATCCCACAGACGAGCCATGATAGCACGTTTCTAAGTCAAGTGGAAGACACGGTTTCCAATGTGCTGAACCACTACGGCCGCGAAAATGTGGAAACTAGCGACTTAGTTCTTTCCCTGAACCCTCCGGAACGAGAATCCTTTGGTGTGGCTCGTTGTCTCGACACGAGATTGCAATCCTTTCGAAGAAACAAGGACTGCCCTCGGTGTTGGTTGCAGAGAGCGCACTGCATTTGCGATCAATGTCCACCACTCATGATTCAGGAGGAAAGTGTTATTCGTCGCATCTTTCTGTTGATGCACCACAAAGAAATCTGCTTGGCTGTGGACACGGCCAAGCTAATCCTGGCTTGTTTTCCACATCACTGTCGATTAGTAGTGGCAGGCATTGGTCCCGAATATCAGTCATCCATGAAGGAATTGCAAGAGGCAATCCACCAGCCGAATTGTCTAGTGCTGTTTCCGTCGGAGGATGCTCAGACGTTTGCTGATATTTTGGCCTCCAATTCAAAACAACAACAAAACGAAAAACGAGAGGGAATCGGTAGCGATGGAAGCGTACGATGGGATCTCATTGTCATTGATGGGACCTGGTCACAAGCGCAAAAGATCCACAAACGATACTTCCCACCCACAGAAAAAGGAGGCCCTCAGCGAGTACAGCTTTCGTCGACATCCTTGTTGCCACTGCACAACAGCCACAATGCTGGTCACCAACAGCTTCGACGCCATCCCATTGACTTGCGCACCATTAGTACAATGGAAGCTACGCGCCTGCTTTTGAAGGAGATCTTGGGAGAAACAGCAGCATCCACTGGTGACGGGACTACTAGTGTTTGGGACACCATGCTGCACTATCAAAAGATATCCAATGAGGCAGCTCAGAGACAGCTGGGCCCGCCAAGAACCAAGGCAACACCAGACTCCCAGCTTCCCATGCAATGCAGGCAACCAAGGATTCAGCCCAGCTAGATTCATTTGAGAAAGCCTGGAAGAAACATTAGCAAAAAGGTTCTCAACAATCGGCAATAACAGGTGCAAGACTGCCCTGATGGCGGGCACCTACCGTAGGGGGCAAACGTGCGCATACACTGGCTAGAGACCCGTGGAGGTGCAGCAAGAGAGGGGATCGATCGTCAATCAGGACCCACAGGCCACTGCAACCGCAGTTGCAGAGGAGTGCTGTTACATGTTGTCCCACTGACTTGCTATGGGTCCTGTGGCAGTCCAATGGTTGGTTGAAGGTTTTTTGCTTTACACGACCAGAGGAAGGGAATGGAGCAATGCGTTGGAATCGATCTGAGTTGTTTGTGATCAAGCAACTCTGTAACCAAATACACTACTCATGTAAGCACATTACAGTATCTTCTTGCACAAATCTTTTCTTATAGATTTACAACTAAAGCACTCTGACTGACTGGTGCTGGGCTAGAGGTTTAAGCAGACTTGACCTTCTTGGTGTTGCTCTTGTAAACAAGGTATCCAACAGCTGCAACGGCCAAGAAAGGAGAGACAATGAACTGCTCAGCAGTGAACCATGCTGGCAAGACAAACAAGGAAACGACTCCCAAGAAGTGTTGCAAAGGAGCACTCAAGGTGTTGGCCTTCATGTACAGCTGGATGGCCCAGTTACTCCAGTTGGAGAAACCATTGGTGTAGGTCTCGTTCTCGCACAGGGCAAAGTTGTAAGAGCAAGCGGCACGTTGGTAGGAGAAGAACATGTGGGTCATGTAGTGCTGGTTGACAAATACATGGTCCAAGATGGCAACGTAGCACGAAGCACGGACGCCGTTGACGACAATCTCGCCGGACTCCGTGATGGGAGCAAAGAGACCATTGCGCTTGACGCTGGCAATGTCAACAACCTTCTTGTCGCCCAAAAGGTCTCCAACCTTGACAGCCTCGGCGGGAACGGCCTTGTTGTCAACGAACAGCATGTGGTTCTTGGTGAGTTCGATGGGAGCCTCAGTTCCCTCGGTGTGGATTTGGACAAAGTCGTACTCGATGTCACGGTCGTTGTGGGCAAAGCTGAAGACCCGAGTGTACTCGCCCTCCTTTCCGGCACGAACGAAGTCACCTATATTCAAAGAGTCCATAGACACGGGTCCCTGGCCTTGGACATCGACAGTTGTCACGGCAGAGAAACAACCAGAGCCTCCACCAGTGTCACCTCCAGCGTCACTTCCGTCACTGGCCTGAAGGCCTCGCTTCTTCAAACTCTTACGAAGCTGTTCGGGAGTCTTCTCTTCGGGCTTGGCAGCAGCGGGGGTGGCAGCATCCGGGGTGGCATCGGCGGCGAAGGCACCAGCAACGGTGACAAACAAGAGAGTCAAGGAGAGCTTCATGGTGATTTTGTTTGGGTTGATTCACTGGCTGTGGAGTTTCGATGTTTTCTCGGCAGAGATTGAAATTGTGAGCAAATGTTGATGGTCTTTGGCTAGGGGCAGCTCAGGCCTCGAATCTTGATGCCATGATCGTCATCATTGGATCATTTTAAAGGAGCGCCACACAAGTTCCGGTAGTCGATCCTCGGGTGGACGATGGGTTGCACGCGCGATGATAAAGAAATGCTTCGCCAACACTCCACAGCTTGTGGTCTTGCCCGTGTCTTCCGAGTGGAAAAAGCCGTTTGATTGCGGCAACGAACACACCCACGTCAACGATGAACGGCCCATGATGGAGAGCGAGAGACTGGACGCATCCTGGCGATCCGCGCTGAAGCGATTTCTTGCTGCAGTGTACTAGTCTAGTACGGCGGGGCAAGTAGAACGGCTCCTCCTGAATCCTGAAGCTCGTGGCCAGCATGCAACCCTTTCCTCACCACCGCCTCTTCCTTTCGGTGACAAAGGTTCGGTGCGGTACCAGTTGCGTGTGCCACTTGGATCGTGGATACTGTTTGTGATATTTAAGGGGATTTTCCACGGGGAAGTTCAAATCAGCAAAGTGTTTACGGTCCGTGGAGGGAGCGTGCAATGCAGTCGTTTTTCTTCTCTGTTGTTGTTGCTGCTTGGCCATTGCCTGCAGGTCCTTTCTTGCTGTGAGCTTCCAGGTGAAAATTTTATTACGTCTTTGCGTCTTTGATCGATGCTCGACACGGTCCTTTTGCATGCCGTTGACGCTTTGCCATGTCAAGACGATGTCAATTCCACCAGGCGACCTTGGGAGAGCCATCATCCTCTCCTTCGACGGTCGCTGGACATTGCGTGCACGCACAATCAATACTGTACATGTACACTCGCAATCGGAGTGCTCCTCCATAACACGAACCCAAAGAGTGAATGTTCTCATTGCCAACATCGAATCAACCGAAAATCTGGAACCTCATCTTCGTCGGCACAAAAAACCTGATCTGAGAAGGTATTCGCGAGAAGCAAGATGAAACGTCACCTAAGGTACAACGAAGAAAGATCACAGCCGCGGTTCAACGCATTCATTCACGTCCACCTGAAAGTGCAGCCCGAAGAAACTTCTATCCTCAAAGAAAAGGGAAATTATGATTCGAGTGCAAGGACGAAAATATCGAACCAAAATCGAGGTTTCGTCAACTGGAGGCTGTTGTCAAGTTGGATGGCAACCAGCGTTCGAAGAGCGATCACAAATGGGCTGAAGGTAGTTCACAATCGACCATTCCTTGCGGGGACGGTGTTTCTGTTTACCGCCCTGTTTCTCGTCTTGTCAAGATACCCCTGTTTTTATCTCTGCGACCCCTTTGAGCACCACGACAAACCCAATCCACCACCTCCTCGAACGTTCGAAGAACGAGTGCATCATGTCCAAAATGTGGTCCAGAAGCAACGCCAGTTCCTGCCACTTTCGGCTGACTACATTTACCAACAGGAATCAAGCAACACCGATTTGAATCACAATGATTGGTACGATATATTCAACTGTCCCATGCAACCATCTCCTTCGTATCCCTTGGAGTTCCCCATCATGAATGTTTTGAACCATTGGCCCATTGCCGATACCGATGCCAAAGAGACGCGCTACATTCACCAGGGACTCTGTGTCCTTGACTTTGCCAAACACGGCGCAGACATTGTACGACAACAAATGCAAAACTATCAACACGCGGAAAAGCCCTTCGTGGTAAAAAACCACCCCGAAGCTCTCAAGTCAGTAGAGCGGTGGAATACAGATGGTTACATGGACTATATGCTGCAACGAAAGGTGTATCGGGGTGAGTTTTCCCGAAACCTAAGCATGATGTATTGGTCGATTAGTAGAAATCACAACGTACCAAAGGGATTTGTGCCTCCTACAAAGCTGCGGCCCACGACCTTTGAGTCATGGCGTCAACGAGCCGAACTGATGGAAAACGAAACCAATTCAACTATCGACAAGATGTATCTACGCTTGGACGCATGCGAGTCGCCCAACAAGCGCTGCGACGCCTTGCATCGAATGTGGTCACTTTCAGGAATCTACGGTCTCACCCATATCGATGATGCGGATTTCATCCATGATGAGTTACCATTCTTGAGTCCTCGGTACTACGACAAAGGAATCTCCAAAGACTTTCTTATTGAACCGCAGAAGTCGCGTGGTATTCAATGCCGCTTTGGAGCAAAGGGTGAGTACTATTTTTGTCGGTTTGCTCTTGTCCAAGACAAAACTACATGTAGCTAGATGGCCCCTCACTGTTTGTTATATTTCAGGTCTGGTGGCTGAAGATCACTTTGACAATGAACGAAATTTCATTGCTGTTCTTGGAGGTGAACGCCGATACCTGCTTTCACATCCAAACAACTGCAAAGACTCGTATCTATACCCCATGGCTCATCCTTTGGAAAGGCATACACAAGTCGATTGGTTTGCTCCCAACTTGACTCAATTCCCCAATTTCAAGAATGCACACATCAACGAAGTGGTGCTACAAGCGGGGGATGTTTTGTATTTGCCAACATACTGGTTTCATCACATTGTGAGTCTTTCGAAAAATTATCAGTGCAACGTTCGAAGTGGCCACTCTCTCCACTACGATCAGGACATTTACGACTGTGGATTCCTATACCCGTGGCCTGGAGAGTGATTTCTTTGCCCTTGAAGCCATCCATAGACTTGAACTTGCTAAGTTCGATCCGCCTGGTAGGTTCTCATAGTCAGCTTTTAAGTTGTACTGTAGTACAAGCTAAAGATTATTTACATCTTAGCTTCTTTGGAGTCTTCGCAGTCGCATCAGCACACCAGCGCTATCGGTTCTACTCTCGTTGCTTGATGGATCTCGAACGACGCGAAACCTTCGGCAAGCTCGCACAGCGTGGAGTTCATCAATCCACGTCGAAGGGGCTTTTCATTTCGCAGAAACCGTTGTGCCTACGGTACAATCATAGCAACATCAACATCATCTAATACGGTCGACCATGTCTGAAGTGGCAAGCAAGATGAGCAAGATGCAAACAAGTATCATCACCATCGTCGTTCTTTCGGTTCTCCTACTTGTAGCAAACGCCCCAGCAGCGCTAAGGACTGTTGGAAACTTACAGCACGGGCTGGCACTGCGAAAACGCAATCCCGTCGTCGTGGAATGGGATATCCAAAACGAACTGATTGTTCCGCGGGTTGTAGTGGAAGGTGTTTCGTATGCACTGAAAGATGTTACTGGCAACAACACCAACATATCCATTCCAAAGAAGCTATCCAAATCTTTGCCACTCCCAAAGCCAGTGATTGTTGTCGGTATGCCAAAGACAGGCACCACCACCATCAAGTCCTTCTTCCAGCAAGCTGGCTATCGATCATCGCATTGGCGATGTCAATCTCAGCTAACCGATCACAACGAAACTGCGGAGGAGGAATTTTGCGGAACTTGCATCCGAAATGCTATCAACCAGTCTCTCCCTCCTCTACAAACCTGCGGAGGATACGATATGTGGGCACAATTGGATTTCACTCTTCCTCCCGACAACTGCATCTTTCCTCAAGTCATCTACCTTGAAGAAATTCATCAGGAGTCTCCTCGAGCCACTTTTCTGCTAAACCGCCGAAACATGTCGCATTGGTTTCATTCCGTGGATAACTTTCATCATTTAGGCAAGCGCCTGATCCAATGTCAGGGTCAAGGAGGAACACCGATGTTGGTTCCCGCATTTGAAGGACCAGAGGATAAGGACGCGTATCAGGATGCAATCGTTGCATGGAACCAACACCATGTTCAGGCAGTACGGGAATTTGTCCACCGCCATCCCAGCCACGCCTTGATTGAAATCGATATTGAAGATCCAGGTACAGCAGAGTACATGGCAAGTCTCTTTCAAACTACGGCCGAGTTCTGGGGGCACAAAAATCAGCACAAGAGTGTGGAAGACACCAATGCCACAGAAGCAGAATCGAATTGAAATAAATTAAAAAAAACTTAACTAAGAGTTAGGGCATAAGGCAGCTACCAATGTAACTAGGGCTTGTAGTACGGTACTGGTAGCTTGATGGGTATGGTTCAAATGGTTCTTTCGGGTTGCTTGGTACTGCCCTACTACCGGTAGTAGCTTGCATGAAGATGAGGATGCAGGATGCAGGGAGGACCAAGCCATCGTAGCCAGTAGCAAGCTGACCATTGGTCCATGTCCAGGATTTTCGGCAGCTCCGCCGACTTGTGTGACGCGGACGACACACATCGAAAAATGAGTGCCAACTTTCGAACAACATAGAAATGGCGATCGTTCTGGCCTCTCTCAAGGGCTCTGTTAGCGGTAGACTAGTAGTATATTGTTATTAGTGCTATAGGTTAACCAATCATCGCTTCTGCAGGTTGTAGTAGTGTTAGAAATGCTGGAGAGCGGCAGAAAATGCGAGATCCGTTGAGGTTTGCACCGCACCAGAGCCGCTGCCGATGCGGCGACCGCTACAATCTACACTGCGTCGTCATTGCAACTAGTGTCGACAATGGCGGATCTTTTTGACGACGATTCGGTCGGTCTGATCGGTTCTGACAATGAACGTGATGACCTGGAAGAGGCGGAACAAATGGAGGAGGCGGAGGAGGAGGCTCCATCTGAGCAGCCAGACTCGTTTGACGTCTACTTCGAGCCCGAGGAAGATCATTGGTTGAGCGAAGACCACTTGTATGAGCTGCAGACTGCCCAAGACAAAGCAATGAAAGCACCGCCTCCTCTTACACAATGGAAGGAAAGTGATCTGTGGGGCAAGGTGGAAGTTACTGTGGCCAAGGCACGGCGGCTAGCTTGGCAGCAAGGCATCGAGGAGATACGTCTTCATCAGAAGAACGCAGGAGAGCTACCTGGTCTGCCAGGAGCCTCCAAGGTTCATCGAGTATATCTCTATCTGTTTGGGTCCACAAGCAAACTCTGCAGACTCTTCTGCGACATCCTGGAAATCGAGAAAGAAACGTATCTTCTTTTTATTATCTCCTATTTCAAATCCTGTCGCTACCGAATGACTGTGGTCAACCTTCACAAGTCGGACGATGATTTCAAGAACCTGATGCCCGCTGATCAATACAATGCTCTCTGGAGAAAGATTGCCTCCCTACGCCGCCATGCTCATGGAGAATCCTTTTGGCAGGAGGTCGAGGCCGTCTTCAATGAAAACTACAAAGATCTTTTCATGTCGGCTGAAACCAACGACACTACGGATGACTTGTTCGAATACGTCGTCAGTCTGGATGACGACAAGCTCCATCTCAACCACCAAAGCAACACCGACCACGATGGGTTGAAGAAAGATCATCACGCCAAAGACAACAGACGAGGATACACTGCACACACGGCATGCCACGCATCAACCACAGCACCACTGAATGTATCATTTCAACGCCAGAATGAGACTGTACGCGGCACAACAAATCGAATGTTGGATATTATGTTCGGAAAGCACGTCGGTCGAACTGAGAGGCTCGACAATGTCGACATAGCAATGGACCGAGGGTATTGGGACGGTGCGCTGATGTTCCGTCTGCTGGACCAAGGAGCACATGTTCACGGCACGGTAAAGCGAATGGATTGGGTTCCGTTGATGTTTGACAAGAAGTCACCAAAGCAGTTTCCCGAAAAGCCCAAAGACGTTGCTAAGGTGGGCTTCAAAGACTCCTATTACATGGATACGAAGTGGAAAGGAAAGACTGTCATTCGGAAGCTTGCCTGCGTTGCTTACCGGAGTGGAACCGGCACTGCTGTATCGATTGCTGTGTCCTCTCGCTATCGCAAGCCTCACTGGGATCTTGTTCCGACCACCCCTGGAGCCCACCGATGGTACCACGACAAGACGCTGACTGAACGCAACCGACAAGAGAAAGCAATGGAGCTGTTGGTGGGTGTTGATCCTGGCGAGTGCATCGACCTGATGTTGGAGACAATGGAGCCACGCACTTGTGGACAGGGAACGGCTGATTGGTTCCTCGATCGACAGCTCTCTGGCACGTCAAGCACCATCTCGGAGATCATCATTGCTGTTGCCCCACTTATACCCAGCGACAGCCCTCTCAGTGACGACTTTGATGCTGTCCTGAAGTACGCAGGCTATGGAGAGTTGCTTGGCACTGCAACTGAAGAAGCAGACGACGTCGAGATTGAAGATGAGCCAGAAGATGATGAGAGCGTGGACAGTCAGGTGGCACTGGAGAAAGAAAGGAAGAAACAAGCCCAAGATTGGATCGATACGCTGTGTGACCCTGCCGTCGACATGGACGAAGCATTTCAGAGTGAAGGAATCGATGCGGAGGTCCTCTCTTGGATGCTTGCTCTGCTGAAGAAGAAAGAGTACAAGCTGATGACGAAGACACAAGCCATGAAGACGTTGAAAACTTCGTTCCTGAAACACCCCAAACAGCGTCGAGTCTATGAGATGCTATCGGTGGCACAGCTGAAAGATATAGCCAAGGAAAAGAAGATCAAAGCCGCAGGCAAGAAGACGGAGATCATTGACACGCTGCTGGATCCTACCGCACAAGTTGCCGACGAGCCGTCGAAGAAGAGACGAAAGAATGCCGTTGTCATGGCCGAAGTTGAACCGGAGCTCCGCCCTCTTGTAGCCTTGTTCAAACAGTCCTACCTCCGACCACAAGCCAAAGCTCCTCGGGCTGCAGCAGCAATTGGTCATCGCAACGAAGAGCCCTTCTTGAAAGCCTTCTTCGATGAGTGCGAGAAAGAAGCAACAGGCGACGAACACTCCTTTTCAGCACTGACGCCAAAGGCAATCTATCGTCTCGGTTTGATGCGCAAAGCTGGAAGCAGGTTTGCCAAAGCGAGCTTGGATGCTGTTACGTTTGTCGAAGACGAGATTGGGGATCTCGAGCTCATACCAACAGAAGTAAAGAGCCGAGTCTCACCAGCAACCATGGCTGAAGCCAGGGAGCGCATCGAAGACCTCGTTGGCATGGAAGAGTATGATCCAAGACGCAAGTTTCTTATCAAGGCGGATTCCAACATGGAGCTCTTGCGATTGCTTATCCGCGACACGAACAATTCAAAGAGAGAGAAGAGCGAGGCAATCCAATTGCTTCACGGAGCGTTTGTGGCAGAGTCCAAGCGAGGGCTGCTGCTTGTTGGATCAAAGGATGCTCTCATGTATGGAGTACTCGTTTCCTTTGAAGACTCACTTCTTGAAGCATACAGTAACGTTGTTGATTACCTCTACAACGAGTTTTTCAAGTGCTTCTATGAATCGTCCGTCGATGACCTAAGGAACAACGACAACATCCTCAAGGCTATCGACCACCTTGAATATTTGGATGAACACTCGTTTTGGACCAACTACACTCTCTGGCGAGCTCTCAATGTCAAAGTCAACCCGTCCAATGTTTGGTGTCCGTTGCCACCCATCGCTCGAACGCTGCCGTTCCAGAATGCTAACTGGAACGTACTGAAAGGCCCCTCCGATACAACAACAAAGCTTCTTGATCTGGTGGAAGAGCAAATTGGAGTCCGCACATCCCGTAACATTGCTACAGGCCGCCTCTGCAGTGTTGGTGCCATTGCTTTTCATCGATCCCTGCAGATGCTTTCTTCCAAGGAACCAGAGAAGTATGCCACTCTCTTTGACTACCGTCACGCAGCCAGCAGTTGCTATACCATGGGCGGCAGCCTTGCTCTACTCCTCAAATTCATGACCAACGATTTGAAGACATTGCTGCCACCAGAGCCACCAGCCGCCGTTTCCCCTCTTGCCAACGCCAATGATCACCTCCGACAAGCAGCATTGAATACGCCTCCACGTCGAACAAGAAGAGCAAACGCCAACGAGCCAGAGAAGATAGAGTGGGGCTTCAACATGAAAACGGGCTACACTCCTCGCCGTGGCAAGCGTGTTTGCGAATCGCACAAGCTTCGAGAGCAGCGCTGCGATGGAAGAGTGCTTGTCTATCTTTCGCCGGCACCTGGGGCTCCAGCAAAGACAGATGTCCGACAAAGATGCCGTCTTTGTTCAGGGCGGACTGCTTTCTACTGCACGGGTTGCAGGAACTACTTCTGTTTTGGCTCCCAAGGGCTTTCGAAGACTCGCATCAAGACGATAGAGCAGAGGAGCGAGGACGATGACTTTGTCAAGCCGAAGCTCCACCTTCAAATGAGTGTATACAATCCGACGGTGGAGGAAGTCAAGAGCGCTTATGTCAGCAATAGCTGCTATCTCCTCCACCACAAGACTGCCTTCGACTTTTTCTGGGAAGCGAAGCACGAAGAAGAGGAGGAGATGGCTGCAATTGGTGAGGAGAGTGACGGAGACGGAGTGCAAGGCAATTAAAGATGGCTGTTACGATTTTATTGCCATTGTCGCCATCGTTGCTGTTGTTGCCGACGGCTAGTAGATAGATCTATTTTCATGTCGCTTTGAAAGATAACACATTACTAGATTATTGTTTGTTATGATCTCTACGTCGTGATACTAGCTAGACAATCACCTGCATCCAACATACCATAAGATCTTTTCTGCCAACATGCCATCGCCCTATTAGTTTTCTGTGAGCTCTTCAGCGAGGATGATGCCCAACACTTGTTGCGAAGCAAAGACCAGAGCTTCACAGAAGAAAAACGCAGTTCCTTTGTCGCCGTCGAATGGCATTGTAATGACAAGCTCCTGGAACCCTTCATGGTGGTCCGGAGGCAGGGAGACGACTTGCTTGATTGCTTTCATTCTGGAGCGCATGGAGATGATCTTCTTGGGTGGCGATGCCGTCCATTTGGCATCAGGAGGAAGGCAGAGGACAGAGTAGTTGTACCTTTTATTCTCAGGGTGAACGCAGATCCGGAAAAGAGTGGTGTCCCCAATCTGCTGCAAGGTGACTGGTCCTTTCAGGATGCTGGTGTCGCCGCCATTGGTCTTGACCTCAATTCTAGCGACTGTGGCCGCCGTATCACCGGCTTGGCTTTCACACGTAGCTGCAAGGACCTTCCAAGAGACTTTCATGGTCGTAGATTGTGTGGTCGATAGCTTGCTGTGGTTGGTTGTCGTGCAGTATGTGTGAGTGCCGTGTGTGTGCCAATGCGTGGTCGATTTGAATTCAAATCATTGATTTTCTCGTGAAGCTCTCACCACTCGAAGCGCCACTCGAGAGCAACACAACAAGCATCACTTGCTCACAATCGCTTCCATTAGACCAGCAATAGCTTCGTTAACACTATTCGCTCGACAAGATGCCCTCCTTTTCAACCAAAAAAAATGGCCATTGTTGGATCCTCGGACAACAAAGGCCATTTCAACGGAAGCTTCCACTCCACTGACAGCAACGACTTGAGGAGGCTCCTCAAGGCTGCGGATGAAGCGATAACTCGCGGCCAGAAGGAAGATGTTGCCGTCATCGTCACGCTCTGCTCCAACGTTGAAATGGACGCGGCCACCTTTCAAGCTTTGGTTGACTACATCAAAGACGATCCGGACGTCAAGAAAATGGTCTGTGTGATGCACGACCTCATCGTCTTCAACACCGATGAAGGCTTTACCATCACTCTTCGCATCCATGGCTCCAAGAAGCTTGCTGTCTTGGAAAACGGCGCCAACAACAGCGTGGACTCCTCTTTCGAGGAGACTGAAGGCTTGACCCAGCAAATGGCTGCTCTCCCTGTCCATGACGCCAACGCCTACGCCACCCCTTGCAAGTAGTCAAGTAGTAGTAACTTATAGTGTGTTGCAGTGAAGTTAATAGCCCTTCTACTAGCCGCTAGCGCCATCGGTAGCGTCATGGTCGCACTTTTTGTTGTTGTGTGCCGTGTGTGGGAATCCCTCCGAGGAGCTCCAAAAAAGTTTTTCACGCTTGTGCCGTCAGCGTCACTTAACGGAAATGAGTGACGTCAGCGTCGCTTTTTCCTGGACATGGAACGACCTATGAGAAGATTCCAAGCTTGCTGTTCTTTATGAAACGTGCGAGACAAGTACACGACCGGTGATTGGCGTGCAAACTAGTACTTCGTACCTGGTACATGGTACCGGTACTTGCTGGTAGCGGCTTCTCAGAGACGCACTTACTTGTTGATGGTTATTAATTAAGTTTCGAGATTTTCTCTTGGGAGTGTTCCAATAATGCCAACTCAAGGTTCTTGGGTGAAACCAAAAGTACCGAGAATGTTTATCAATCCAGCTTGAAACCTGGTGCCCTGACAATCCCATCTGAGCATCAACATCAACATCAACATCAACATCAAATACTAGTACGGTCGACCATGTCTGAAGTGGCAAGCAACATGAGCAAGATGCAAACAAGTATCATTGATAACTTTTAGGAGCGAGAGCTCTGGATTCCTCTGGGATAGCTCCAACAGCTATGCTGGCCTACAACTCCAGCATGCGCAGTTGGCTTATCTCCCAGCAAAGCAGCAAGAAAGGATCGTCCTTTCTACCATAGTTAAGAAAATAGTACAAAAGATGGAGACCGATCCTGATTAGCTTGTAGCCCCTTTGATACCGCAGCAGTTGATTCCTATCCTGTTGAGGCCGGGCAGAAGCAGTAGAAGGTAGCAGATAGTACTGTTCCCAGACTGCCACTGCACGATTGAATAACCAAGGCCCCCAGCTTCTGAGGAGAGCTGGCCCAAAAGGGCCCAGCAGAGAGCTCTGCTGGCCCTCCTGTCTGACTGACAGGGCCAAGTCCTTGGCTTGGTGCCTACTGGAGGTGTTGGAACACTCTTGAGGCACGACAAGGCTCCCTGAACTGCCTGACTACCGCTGTACCTGAGGAAGGGTTTCAGCGAGGTCCAGTCCACTACTTGGGTATTGGAACTGAAAATTATTGGATTAACAGACCGCATAGATTTGCAGGCAGTTCTTAAGGGAAGAAGAGACCTCCTTGACGAGAAAAGGATCTCTCTGCATTACAACAACCAGTGCTACAGCTACAGTTGATTTCATTGGCATTTTGGAGGTGATTTCGAGGCCCATTTTGAAGTCCTAAGTCAACAACCTTCTGATCAATTTTGATAGTTCCAGCTATCACCACAGTGACAGGAACCCTTGACTTGGCCATCTTCCAATCTACAACTCCAACACAAAGCCCATTGTTTCCATTCAAGCTCCTAGCTAGATCACCAACCCAACATCAACCTCATTGACGACGGCAGCCACAATTCGAAGATAGCCTCGAAACTGGTGGCAGGTGGCAGGACAAAAGCAGTCAATTCGCTGGAAAGAAGTTAACCGGTGTTGGAGTCTCCGAGTGAACGCAAGACTTATTATCTTCGCACCTTTCTTGGGCATTGAGGAACGCTTTTACAGTTAGAGGATACGGGCTTATCGCTTTGCAATCCTCCAGCGATTACGTGATTTATTGCTCAGGATCGAGGCTTATCTCTTCAGCTCGTCCATGCAGTTTTCGAGCATCACGAGTTTCCGTCCTGTACTGTTTCAAGCTTTTCACGGAACGCTGTGGAACGATTTGACAAAGTCTCTCAGCCAATCAAAACGTCCGTGCAGTTTCCGAGTGTCACGAGTTTCCGTCCTAAACTGTTTCACGATTTCACGGAACGCTGAAGAACAAGCCGATCAGCCAATCAAAACGTCCGTGCAGTTTCGTTATTTATTTGACGTGCACCGAGTCAGTTCTCACCGGTTACGTGAAGTCCTGTGCGATCCTGGATTTTCGACTCTTTATTGCACGAGTTGCCGTACCGGTTCTGCACTTATAGGACAACATTCCCCGTACTGAAAGCAGGCTCAGCCTCCGTAAGCTGGATTTGCCTTCACATTTTAAGGTGTTTACGTGGTCGAGTCATTGAAAATCGTGAAATCACGATTTTCCTTCCGTACGGAGCACCGAATTGAGTAACTCGAAGCGACTCGAGGCAACCAAGACACCGTTTCGAGAGGCTGCGAGTGGTACCAATAGAAGCGCCATCCTTTGTTTAGTTGGTGGATATACTACCTTGAATTTTGGGAGCTTTTGTGGGGAGATTCATTGGTCCCAGCAAGCTAGCATCCACAGTGGCAAAATCTCACAAATCCAAGCCAATTCCCAGCACCACGGCAATTCAGGAAGCAGGCTCCAGACCCTCTACACTGGCTACCTTATTCAAAGACAACCAAATTGAATTTCCTAGCCCCATAGCAAGGTCCCTGGAAGCCCCCTTTGTGGTTTCCCAGCTACAGTTGAACCAGCCTCTATTGCACTGCAACAAGAGCTGAGATCCAGTGTTGCCACCAGCACTTCTTCCTGTGGCAGACAACAAGAGGCACCAGGTCTTTCTACGGTTCCTACAGCGATGTGAGTGACCCTTATGCCCCTGGCTACTCTGACCGTGGCTGGCACTACGTCTACTCTGGTCCCCAAGTCCAAGGTAGCTACACCTGTGCCCGTCCCACACACCACGATGGAGCCGGCAACAGTAACCTTGCCTACCGCCACATGCATCGGGACACACAGCCACCAGTGCCACCACCAGATGAATACAAATCCGTCTTTGACATTCTTGAGAGGACACCGGCACCACCTGTGTCAACAGTGTTCCCACCAGACACATACAAATCACCCTTCGACATCCTTGAGAAGAGGCCGGCACCAATGGCCTATGGTAGGACCACGCACCAGCTGGGTGATGGGGAGATTTCAGAGCTGTCTCCCAACAGCTCCAGTTGTCACCCAGACCTCATCTGCACATCTATAACCCAGCCATGGAAGACATGCTGATCCGCTTTCAACAGCAACAGGTCACCGTTGCCCGGCAACTCGACCTCATGAGAGCTGACCACGAGTCCCTCAGACGAAACCTGAGAGCTGATCATGAATCCTTCAAGCAAGACATGGGAGCTGACCACGAAACCTTCAAACGAAAGATGGAAGCTCAGTTCATCGCCTTGCAGAACCAACTGACAACTCAACTGGAAGCCTTGGTCGTGGTAGCTGCTAGGCCACCTGTCACAGCACCTACACCTGCTTTGACACCACCAGTTCATAGGGAGACCAATGCCACTCCACTGCCAGCCATGGGCAGTGCACTACGCTAAAAGCTAGTGTAAAGATCTTTCGAGTGTTTTGAGTTTGAGAGAATGAAAGTTTATGAGAGGATTAGAAAGCTATGAAAACTAATCAACGAGAGAGATCCACAATCAAAGGATCGTAGATCTGAACTCCCGCGGGAGACTGTAGAGTGTGATAGAGTAGGTTGCGGTAGCAATCCTACTCACTCCACGATCCAAAAACGGAACGCGTGGAAGATTCGTCTAGCATTTTCTAGTAGCGGTGAAGTACTCCACGCTGGCTAAATATCTAGAGCGATGTTTCATCATCAACCTAGTATGACTAGAGCGGTCATTGAGAACCCTGTCTCAATGACTATTCACGAAGACTCAGTCATGAGTCGAACTCAAACCCTATCTAGGATCGAGTGCGCAATAAGGCTAAGAGCCGTGTATTGCATTCGCCCCTGACAAGGGTCACGGAAGGCACGACATCAGTCGGACAAGGAGAACATATGAATTAAAGTGCGGGGCACTCTCCGGAGATTGGATGTAGACATGTGCGTCGCACGATGGCAATCCTACAAAGGGGATCAGGCCTTGTATGGGTGTAAATACTTATGTTCCAAGTCTGGTAGACGTGCCGCTTGGCGGTAGTATGTCGGAGCCGTACAGTGCCATTTGTATTGACTCGGTCTGTGGGGTAAGGACCTTTGGCTGACCGTACTAAGGTTCTGATACTGATGAATCATCATAGTATCGTTGACATGGTGTTGATGAGGGACACGTGTCGTGTTCTCCTATCGTGTTTTTCTGGATAAGTCGTTGGCGACGTTCCTTAATGTATTTCCGGTTTGTTTGAAACGGATGTGGTAATCTTGTCACGATTGACGCGCGTGAACTTGCGACGAAGTCATGTTCATCCCGAGAGCTCTTCTCGACCTCTCGCGGGACTCACGTTCTCTGTCCATGATAACCTCAGCCGGTCATTGATACTGGGTAACCCACGTCTGTTTTAGAACGATGGTTATTCGTCTGCTGTCTTGGAGCAGACCTGGTAATCCCGAACCATTCGGTTACGGGATCAATCATTGTCAGCAATGAAGTGTACATGTGATCGTCTGATTCATGTATCTGGCTGGTAGTTCATTGGTCCAATGAATCCCGAAGTTCCTTCCTGTTGGGGAAGAGCGATAGTTGGATCGCATCTATTATCTTTTTAGTTAAGGGGTTGGATTCCTTCTCGAGTAGTCCAATTGTCTAGATACTCAAGTTCTTCCTTTCGAGGAAGGCCTTGGTAGTGTTGATTTTAACCCCAACTTCTTGAAGTCTTTGGAAAGGTCATCTAACTATTCACGCGATCCGCCAGATCGCGTCAGTTAGGATGAGTTGATCCAAGTATGCACGGACATTTCTAAGTCATGCATGCGTGTTTTCATCTCCTTTGGAAGATGTCGGGACTATTACATAGGCCCATTGGCAACCTCTGGTACTCGTGCTTTTCGGCGGAGTGCATGTTTCAGCGTTTGCTTCGATGTGAGGTGACAGCTCGATGTGGTAGTTCCCGTGTTCGGTCTGACTAGTAGCCGCCTTTAATGAATCCATCTAGGTTAAAGAGCATGTCTGTATTTTTGGGATAGCGTGATTGAGTCTTCCGTTCGATCCCGGTGTTCAAATTTCCCTGAAATGATGAGAGATGATCACAGATTACCCTCTTC